TTGAAATAAAAAGGTGAGTTTTATACTTTTATGTATTCCTTGTAATAAAACAAACACGTAGATATATAATTTGTGGCATAAAAAGTGAAAAGTAAGTGCCAAATGTACTTCGAAATCGAGAAGGCCCATTTTAGCGGTTGGGTCAAAAATGTGTTATTTTTCCAATTCTCATTTATTTTTAGTGTAAAATGTAACTAAAAAATAGTTTTATAACATATTTCAAATAACTTGACATTGTATTTATTTCAGAGTGACCGACATAGCCCAACGGATTAGTAAGCTGAAGTGGCAATGGGCCGGCCATATAGCTCGAAGAACCGATAACCGATGGGGAAGAAAGGTTCTCGAGTGGCAGCCTCGTACCGGTAGGCGTAGTGTAGGGCGACCCCCCACTAGATGGAGTGACGACCTGGTAAGACATGCAGGAAGTCGATGGATGCAGGTGGCTCAGGACCGTGCTTTGTGGCATTACTTGGGGGAGGCCTATGTTCAGCAGTGGACTTGTGAAGGGCTGTAATGATGATGATGATGATGTATTTATTTCAATTTCACACAAAAATATATTTGAAATATTGTTCGGAAATCTCATACAGATAAAAATTAATTTCGTTTTTTTTTATTTTTTTTTATTTTATATTTTGGTATGAGTAACGAATAGAAACACATAAAACATAAAAATATACATATTTCCAAACATTTTTATATAGATTTCTCCAAAAACAAACGTGTAGAATTCGAATAAAGGTTAATTTATGAATTTTATTACAATTTCTAGCAACTAAAAATAATTTTGTTCGATAGTTTATATATTCAATAAGAATCCCTGTAAGTTTTATCCATAAAAATTGTCTCAAAGTGAAAATATAGCAAAATTTGCAAGTTAGCAAAAAGTTTGTAACTCCCGCCATTTTACGTCGCGAGCCAACCGGCGCGGCGTATCGAATAAAGTCGCCTTTCGAACATACAGGATTTGATTGATTACGTCAGTTTAAAGGCCATTAAATTTTCTAAAAGAACTTTTCAGTGATATAATGAAAATAAAAATTTAAAGCCCGTAGGTAGACCTTTTTTTAAGACCAGCAAAAATCAAATGCTTTCTTTTTTTGCTGTACGATTATTTTCCTCGGAGTTATAGCTTGTTGAAAATTACCCAAAAAATTTAGAATTTTTTCCCAGAAAGTGGCCGTTCCATAACGTAACTCTGCCTAAAATTCTGGAAAATTGCGGACGCGCTGCAGTACCGTAGGATTCAAAAAACTACGGAAAACATCATTATACTGTACTCTGAGGATGTTTATAGGATTTTTTGGTGTAATTTATCCAAAGTTGTCCGGTGTAAAAGCTGATACAATAGGCTTTAAACAAAGTAATCTTAACATCGTCAGAACACAGAGCAAAGCGACGCGCCAGCCAGTTGCAACGTATGGCTAGAGCCCTACGTTCGCTCTCTATATCCAAAGTCGTTTCTCATCTCAGGCTCTCCAATAACATATATGTACTTGAACTTCTTCATAGTCCAAATTCCATCCTGTTCACTATTTGTACTTACTGGCGGTACGCTCCTCGGACCTTTTCCAGCATGAAATACTAGCATTTCAGTCTTAGATTATATTTTATCCATGCTGACGAGCATAATTTTCGCAAATGTATATAAGCTTTCTAAAACCATCGATGGGGTTATGTTCCTATCTAATTTTATTAATTAGAACACATTAATTAATTGTTTTGGTAAAAGTCAATATAATGGAAAAAGGTCAACCAACACATTTTTGTGCACTCTTACATTATTTTAATATAATTTTTCTTGCTTCTGAAGAGCCAGGCAGTGTTCTTACCATTTAACCGCCCCGTGAACTTAGCTTAAAAAAGTAAATGTTTTTGAGTTAATCCCCCTAATATGTCTATATCAGTACATTTCAAGTTTGTTCTGCACCATAAGCTAACATTTCAGCCCCGAATCTAGCCGTAAGATGTCTATTATAATCCCCAATAAAGCTTCAACCCCCCACACTTATCAATTATTGCGCTCATGCTGCTCAAAGCATTTGTGAATTCTGTCAAATTATCTTCAATGTACTACAGGCACGTTTATGATCAATATTTGGCGGTTATGAAATGGTAGTTTTATGATAACTTAACATGAGTCACACTTTTTTTAAAGATAGATATGTACAAAAATAAATCGAGATGTACGACAGTCCAAGATATCGAAAACATACAAAGTAGGATTCGTTCATTTTCTATGCCATGTTTTTCCTTGAATGTTACACATAGAAATCAATTTATTACGAAAAGGCGGCATGTACAACAATTCGCCTTTAATAATTGCTTATACAAAGACAGGTCCAAAAAATAGCAGTACGAATTTATCATTAGTGCGGCAAATTACGTTCTGTTAACCTCGAATCCATCTTCGGTTTGTGACGTAATGCAGTGATATTTGTAGTTATTAGGTACGGTTAATTACGTCGTTCTTATGAAATTTCTCAGGTTCTTCGCTATCTAAGACGATATTGTGATAATTTTTGTTCTATTTTTTTACTCTTTACATTCAATTGATTAAGCACTAAATACAAACTATTTAATAAATGTAATAAAATTAAATAATAGGTGGTCTAGCGATCCGTCCCATGCAAACCTTTTTGGTAAACATATTATAGAAACACTTCTACTTTATGCACACGCATAAATATGTATAATCTAACTATTCTTTATTAGAAATCTGTTAATTGAACGCGTGGAATATTTTATATTACATTAGATTGGTAAAATAAAAAACAATGACAATGTTTACGTCTTTCCACACCTATATGAATTTTACCGATTTACAGATATTTCAAGAATATCGTATAATTTGAATTTGATCATTGATACATATTTTATTGTTATCTCCCTCTGTCTGTCTTATCTATATTTGGGGGGGGTGGTTATAAAAGGGTTAACGACTATATTTTATAGTATTTTGTGTGTTATAAACTATTGAAAAAGAAACCCTTTTAGTATAATTACAAAGCTGTTTAGTAAATTACTAAAATAACATATACACATAGTTGATTTGTGAATGTGCATTACACTGCTACTCTTTGCAGCTTATGTTGCCTGGAAATGAAATGACGGGCTTATTTTAATTTGATAAGGATATTCCGAGTTGTGGATAAAAATGTATCTCGCGGGTATTTGCTAGTTATCTCATATCCGCAACACAAAACTTTTATCATAAAAGCTGTAATAAGTTTGGTTTTTTGGAAAGACTTTAGATTAAACACTTCGCTCTTTTATTTCGTGTTCCTTACGATATAAAAGTTCGTGGGTTCAAATCCGTTGTTCAATTAGTATAGTCATCCACTTCACAAAAAATTCGAGCGTTAAAGTGGTTACCGGAAGTAGCTAGCATTGTTTGTATATTTGAAAAAAAAAATGTGTTGAATGAATGAAATGGACACTTAAGAAAATAGTCTTTAGAAAATATTTTATAATAGGAAACTTGACGGTAAATTTTAGATGATTACAAAAGCAAAAGGATTAGCAATTTTTGGTATTGAGTAGTGATGCAACAGAACTCTGTTTCTGTTTCCGCAACTGCGGAAGTTCTGCATGGTTTTTGACATCTGTTTCTGCTTCCGTTTCCGCAAGTTTTATAACAGAAGTTTAAACGGAACTCAGCAACGTAGTCACATACATAAGCGGAGGAGGAGCATTTTAGCCAACCACAAGCGAGCTGAGTTATTTTTACGTGAAGTTTATATTTAATTATTGTTTACATGAAATTTATATCAATTATTTTTACGTGAAGTTTATATTATTTATTTTTTACTTGTAGTTTATATTATTTATTTTTAGAAACACTAATGAGTATTTTGGATTCAAAGATCGTTTACGTCGTACTTACGTGCGAAGGCTGTACTAAATTACCTACTTGCTAAAACTAAATGCGACTCTTCAAAGAGTCTGAACATACTTCAGTGCCAGTTTAGCTTTGGTGTACAGGCAGCATCGCCAGCGAGCAATTATTTAGCGGAGCTGGACTTATATACGAAGAACACTGGAACAGATTGTTAGGTGTAAAAGCGGCCGAACTACTTTTCATAAAATTTAACTTACCGCTATTTAATTTTGAATGTTAATTAAAGTTTTATTTTTACTATTTTTATAAATAGTATTTCCGTTTCCGCATCCATTTCTGTTTCCGTTTCTGCAAAAAAATATTTTTAACATCTGTTTCCGTTTCTGCTTCCGATATGACACTTCCGTTGCATCACTAGTATTGAGCCTTTTGAGGTAAGCCTTTATATCAAAAAGTTTAAAATTGTTACTAAGCAAAAATTGTTTGATGGGTGTTATTATACTACTAAAGAGTACATGACTGATAATAAGAACGAGACTATCGCTACCATGCTGTTTCTAAATGTTTTCATATTTTATTGTACAAGTGTACTACATATTTTAATTGTTTAAAAAACGCCCCTGGGTTTCCCACTCGTTCTTCTCCAAACAGAGATTGTTCCCAAGCCAATGTTATAAGCATAAGTGACCAAACATTCTTGTTATCTATATTGTATAAAAGTAATTCTATTCGTTAGTGAAGTAATTTTATGATTAGTCGACATTAAACGCAATAAACATGAAAATAGTGCCTTATATATATACTAAATGACTCCTTATCTTTTGTCCGTAGAACTTCATGGAACATTATTACCGTGAAGAAAGTTGTAAATGACTAAAACTCTAAACTCCATTAAAAAATCCTTACCGTGACACAAATCATCGTATAGTGACGGTGTAAGAATATGCACTACCCTATATCATCGCCTGACACGACAGAGAGAAACAAACCAAGGGATGGACAGCAACGTCTTTCTAATAATAACTGAAAAGTAAAATAAAAATTGCGGTTGCCAAGCGTTGAACTTAGTCAAATTTCCCCCCTATTAGGCAATTTATCAAAACGGTAACGGTATTTTAACATCCGTTTTACTCAATAAAATATTTTTGTTTATCAGGACATCGACAATCTCATGACGGAGGGCAACAAGTCGCGGACAGTCGCGGCTACGAATATGAACAGCGAGTCGTCTCGGTCACACGCCGTGTTCAGCGTGGTGCTGACGCAAACGCTCTGTGACGCAGCGACCGGAGTCACGGGAGAAAAAGTCGCGAGACTGTCGCTCGTTGACTTAGCCGGCTCTGAGAGGGCAGTGAAGACTGGTGCCGTCGGGGACAGGCTAAAGGAGGGGTCCAATATTAACAAGTAAGTTTTTGATTAAAACTACTACGGACTACTACTTCGGAAAAAATCGTTTTATTAATGTAGAGTCATGGCTTAAAATCATTCAGCTTGGATATGAAGCCAGTACCGTCGGTATGATAGCTGTGTATGATTTACTTACCTACGGGCCTCGCGATTCATTAATCTTATATTCATTAATAATAATAAAAAAATACCCAGACCGGCAATTAATACAAATGTGAGGGAACAGCGTCATAGGTGAGAAATGTCGGTATATCAGTATGACTGCGATTGCCAATTCACCCGCAAAGTACTGCGGTACGTTTCCAGCAGTGCTTGTGTTTGTTTATGAGATGATAATGATGATGGTCACATCATGATCACATAAAATGTAAGTAATGCTTTCTTAGGATACTAAAGAAAAAACCAAACGGGACATGTGTTTATTTTCCAGGTCATTAACAACACTGGGTCTGGTAATTTCTAAGTTAGCAGACCAATCTTCGGGGAAGAGCAACAAGGATAAGTTCGTCCCGTACAGAGACTCTGTGTTAACCTGGCTCTTGAAGGACAACCTTGGCGGCAATAGTAAAACAGTTATGGTATGTTTATATTTCTTTTTTAATTATAGACCAAGGTTTGACCAAACGTTATCTTAAGTAAGCCCTATTAATAATGATATAAAATATAAGGTTCATTAATTGCGATGTCGATTAATTACATTGTAATGAATCGACATCGCGAAAAATTGTCGAAAATGCCACCCTTGTAATCATTACTTCTTTGCAACTAGCTTTTAAAAAAAGGCCACAAAAGCGTTGTATAATTTAATTCCCAACTAAAACGGAATATACCTTACAGGTTTTCTGTATATTTATACTGCATATCATTCAAATTAGAACACACCATTAGATGCACCACTGCCTTAAAGAAATAGATCGATTAATAATACTTAGCTATTGATCTCCTGGGAACACAATTAACAAATAAAATCAGTTGAAAAAGTTGCTACCATGGTTAAAATTTTCCCTAGAAGACTCCGTAAATGACGCAGCAACGGAGGGGTAAGTATTGTACGAACCATTTAGAGCCCGGTGAAGCCCATCCCTGACGAAATTTTCGATGTACATAATTAACTAATTATTTCTTCTTCCTTAGCCCGTAGTGGTTCACAGCTGGGCCATAGGTGTCCTCCAGGTGTAGTGAGAATTGGCCTTAATGGTCTTTCTTTGCAGGCGGCTGTTTGACGATCTCAGTATGTGACGCCTTAAATATTTTTGATACTACTTCCGTCGTCGATCTGATATTTTTCACAGTTTTTTTTAAAATGTAATGAAGGTGGGGTGATAAACGAGCACACAATGTAAGTGGATGCTGTAGCCCATAGACATCTACATCTATCCTCGATTACGAATCAAAATGCAGATGCGTGATCACCTTTGAGAACTATGATGGAATGTCTCGTTTCTAATACAAAGGATTGCCACGCCTCCAACTCGAGTTTTTTTTAATTTTTATAGGATTATGGTGACAAACGAGCGCACAGTCCACCTGATGGTAAGTGGATACTGTGGCCCATAGACATATAAAGGTAACCTCGATTAAGAATTAAAATGCTGATGCGTTGTCACCCGTGAGGACTAAGATGGACTGCCTCGGTTCTCTACACTCACCATACGAAACACGGCACCATTAAGCTGTTATTTTACGCTCGTATTCTGTGAGAGCGTGGGAACCTCCCCGACCGAGCCGACCCATTCATGCTACAGCCATAATAGCTGCAGCGAGGCTCTACCACAAGCTCTAAACGTGACAACCTTGTGCATGAAAAATTTACATATTTAGTTGTCACTTTAGTGATTTAGCAATTGTCATATATATTTTATGTTACTGTTAGTAAATTTAAGAATTGTTAAGTGATGTTAGTTGTTTTTTCTTAAGCTGAATTTTTGTAAATAGCTTAATGTTTATATGGTTTTTATTATTTTGTTATTCACGTAAAATTCAGTGTCATTTGTGTAAGATTTAATTCAAAATGAAAAGGAAGACACTATCGCGTTGGGTTTGACCTGTGCAAATGTCTCAAGTAATTAAATCCAGTTTTTTACACCCACCACACGAAACACAGCAGCATAAAGCTGCTATTTTACGCTGGTATTCTGTGAGAGCGTATTTCATCCCTTGGTTGAGCACAGTGAGTGCTACAACAATAATATGGCTTCAGCATGACTATACCGCGTTTATATACATCCTGCGACGCCTACGAGGTGGAATGGGGCGATGGATGAAATTATTTCGTTGTGAACACACGGCGAAATCAAACAGATTCATATGTTCAGATTTCTGTTATTTTACTAGCTGAGCTTACACTTTTCGACCTGAAGAGGTAAATATCCGTATCCGCGGAAGCCAACGCATGATAGTGAATGTACTTGTCCATGTTCGCAGGTGGCGACGGTGTCGCCGGCGGCGGACAACTACGAGGAGACGCTGTCGACGCTGCGCTACGCCGACCGCGCCAAGCGCATCGTGAACCACGCTGTCGTCAACGAGGATCCCAACGCGCGCATCATCCGCGAGCTGCGCCAGGAGGTGGAGGCGCTCAAGGAGATGCTCAAGCACGCCACCGTCAGTGCTTCCCATTCTCTATACCTGTTATTTCATTCTCTGTCTCGCCCCCCACCCCTGCGCTATGCCTTTCACTCTATATCTCCTCTAATATTTTCATCATCATCTCCTCGAACATGCGGCACATCTGATTTTGACTATGGCCCATGAACAACTGTAACACCATTGGGATTGGTTTGCCGACCTTTTAAAAAGGAGTAGGTTCTTAAGGACGCTAAGCCGTATCGGTGGGTAATAATCGTTGCAGCAGAAGAAAACTTCTTGTACGTCGCATCCCTTCCCTCTCATCGACTCTCTTTTATCTCTACAGCAAGCGGAATACTTTGTGAGCACGACCTTGACAAGCATGGTTGCTTTTGGTAAAGTACGAGTTTGGTAGAGTACGCACGCTATCGGTAGTGGTTGCGGTCGCTATTGGTCTTTTTCGTTGAGTGTAAAAATATTTTATTTTTATAGGGTTCACCTGTGGGCGAAGATGTACACGAACAGTTGGCACAAAGCGAACATCTAATGAAAGAAATGTCACGAACATGGGAGGAGAAACTTGTCGAAACAGGTCGGTCGAAAATAAATATTTTTTTTCTATATCGCTACTACCTTACATAGTATGTAATAATTATTCTCGAGATTAAATTGTTACTACAATTTTCGTAATGGTTCCTGAAACGGTCAATAGAGATTGTCAATAACTATGTGAATGTTTTCAGTTTAATTATAATGTATATTAGGTGACTATTTTTACCGCCTGTTAAAAATAGTCACCCAGTCTACATATATAATATGTTGTTTTTTGTAAGCGGAATAGAAGCTATCTTTGAAAGTATTTGTAAATATGTATAACAAAATATAACTAGATAGGCAAAATTTCCAATATCCAAAAAAATACGGAAGTACAATTCATCCTACGACGTTTGCCGAAAAAAAGGCTACGATCGCTAGTGAATGAAAGTTGTAAGAGCGAGCCAGACGCTTTTTTTTTTGCGCCCGAAGCAATTAAGGGCAACCCTCCGGTAACGGGGGAGGGAGGTGGAGAATGCTCATAGCATACCGCACAGCCGGTTGCGTGGTTATGTGGAGGCTTTTACCCACTAAACTCCACCTTTAGGGATTGGCTTACTGATCTGACGAGAGATCTTTAAGCCGTACACGGACGCGACCCTCCTTGGCAGAAAGGAGGGCGCAGAGCTAGTCGCATGCACACTTTCGTTATGTAGTGGGAAGGAAGCGGTTGACACATCGTTGTAGCCAACATTTTTAGAATTGACTGACGCGCGCCTAACGTTACCAAATATTATTCTTCTCTTACAAGTATTTAGCCATTTTTGATTTTGACTGCTTAGTTGGTCTAGTGGTTGTAGTAGTGTGACAGCTGAACATTAGGTCCTGATCCTAGGCTCGAATCCCGGGTCGCGACAAAAAAATCAATTTATTGAGTTTTTCCGTCAAGAAATTGCTGGTGCTGGCTGGCTGGCTGGCTGGTGGTGGCTTTCCCCGTATAATGTCAATGACCTTATACCGTTCAGTGTAAGCAGACCTGTCAGTACTAGTTACTGCCTACTAATGCAAGATCAGTATATACTAGTTGTTAGTAAAATACTTGGTCGATAAAAGAAAAATAATAAAAATAGCAGCACTTCTCGTTGCCACTCTTTCATTAATAATGTCGTCTCGTGTCGCATATTTGTATATAGCAGAAAAATGTGAAACATAAACAGAATTACCTTTCGTTTCAGATTATTATTTTTGTGATTTCGATCTTTCCTTCATACTTTTACGGGGACCATCTAATACGCTGTACTTGAGTAGAATTACATGTTAAATTTTATCTTGCATTATAATGAATTGAGATAAACAGTTTCTAATAATAATTTTTATGCCTACCGCATACTGCAACATTTTGACGTATTTAAAAGGTCGAAATTAACTTATTTACAAACTACACTGATTGATATTTACAATAAACACATACTAGCACGTCTCTGTAAATTGTTTGTTAAGCTTCGAAGCGTGTCTCTATCACTTTTTATCACATTGAATGCGTCTATAATACGCTACTTTAAATCACTAACATTTGTGCTTCTGTGTACACTAATCGTTTTAGTTCGGCCCATCCGTCATCGGCCGAAGTTTACTCGGGCGATGACGGCCTAACTCGAACGATCGAATCAAGCACTTGTAAAATAAAGAGAGCGCGTACACAAACACCACCGTCATCGTACGATAACGCACGAAAACGGCCGATCAACCGTCGAGTCAGAACTTGTTGGGATTTCTCGACCGACTGCCGGCGTCTACAGTGCAAATTGAGTGTATTTAATATTTATAGTTTGATTTAATCATTCTGTGTTTATTCTGTTGTTTCTGTCAGTGTTGCTATCTACCTAAACGACTATGGATGTGAAAAAATTAGTTGCACATAAATATTTCATTAACTCACACAAGCCGATGACGTCGACAAATTAAATTGTGGTATGAATTTTCTAAAAGAAATTTTTTTTTGAATTCCTCCTTTTTAAAAACGCGTTTTCACTCTGTTAAGACACAGCACAGTCAACAACAGAATACCGGCAACGTTCAATATCGGCACAAGTGGTACACTGTTGCAGTGTACGCACATACACGGCCGAGTTACTCGTCCGGTTAGTTCTGTCCGCCATCGACCAACAAAATCGGTTTTGGTGTACACGTACCGTAGGGGTGTAAGGTCTGGTGATCTCGCCGGCCAGTTCACAGGCTCGTCACTGTTAGATACTCGACATTAAAGTATTGGTACGTGTTTACGATACACACGCGGAAACATAAATAATGCGATGGTGACGCGACGTCACTCCACAGCAAATAACCAGTAACTGAAGAGTTGAGAGTGCGGGCGGCTTTACACTTGAGCATGTGACCCTGCGGAGTGACAAGGTCAAAAATGCCTACTAAATTTATTATTTTATTGCCGTTCGTAAAGTATGAAAAAGTATAAAAAAGGGTGGATATGATTTAAATTTCGATAGATTTTAATTAATTTATTTATTGAAGTAAAACTTCTTTAAGTTCTAGTAAAACGCACGCTTGACTTGGGGAGTAAGCTGGCGAACGTGTGACGTAAGCGTTACGGAAAGTGTGATCGGGTGAGGCTAACGGGAGCTGAGTGGGGGATATAAGCACGAAAGAGCAGTGCACGCGCACATTTACTTTCTCTCTTTCTGTCATAGCCAGTTATTTTTCGTAATTTTATTTCGTTTTGAACCATTCTATGAATTAATATTTTGTTCAATACATTAAATATTCGTAGAATATATGTATAATTAAAGTGAATAAATTTATAAATTAATTTTAAAGTTTATGTTTTGTGAATTTTCTTATGAATGATAACAAATTATGGCAGGAAGCCGGTAATAAATTTAAATATTTGTAGAAAATTAATAAAAAAAAAAAAAAATATATATATATAAAAAAAAAAAAATATATATATAATATGTAACATAATTAATGCACACCCTCAGACACCCCAATTAGTATATTATGTTATAATACATACACTGAATTTTTAGTTAAACATTTTTATGCACTGATTATTTATCAAATTAGTTATACTTATTCCGGAAGAATGTTGCGGTCACAGTACAAATCCACGAACGCAAAGACTTTAACCTACTTGAAATAAAGTTCATTTTTCTTTATTTTTATTGAATGACACTATCAGTAATAATACAAATAAAACTCACTCTTAAAAGTCTTATTGCCTTAAGTTACGGTCCATTTCAGTTTGTTTTGACTGTACAGATTTAGTGTGACTGTAATTTACGTAGTTTTAATTATTTTTGGGATAAAAAATTATCTATATAAAAAATGATAGGAATCGATTCAGTAAACGATTCTGAACAAACTACTTTCTCAAAGTGCGTTAATTATGTTACATGTTGTATATATATATATATATATATATATATATATATATATATATATATATATATATATATATATATATATATATATATATATTATACATGTATGATATATGAATGACAGAATTAGTAATAATACAAATAAAACTGCACTCTTAAAAGTCTTATTGCCTTAAGTTACGGTCCATTTCCCAGTATGTTTTGACTGTAAAGATTTAGTGTGACTGTAATTTACGTAGTTTTAATTAATTTTTGGATAAAAAATTACTACTATTACAATTGAAACGTGCAATCACCTAAATAAATCTAGACGGACAATTGCAATTGATCGTTTCAGGGATCCTTTAATATTGATTATCGTAACCATAAACCACAGTACCTTGTGATTCTTAGGTCGAATACAGAGCGAAAGACAACATGCGTTAGAAAAGATGGGCATTAGCGTACAAGCGAGCGGCATCAAAGTAGAGAAGAATAAGTACTACCTCGTCAACCTTAATGCAGACCCATCGCTGAATGAACTGCTTGTGTATTATTTGAAGGTAAAATTTTATACTGTCTATATACACTTTTTATGTAGGTTTATTTTTACTCTTGATTATTTTAATGGATTTAATTTTTAATACTTTTTAAACACAAAAAATATATGTATTGATTTATTATTAAAATAAATAAAAAAAACGTTATATGTTATATAATTATTGGTGCGTTTGTTAGTGATCATCGTTTTACCAGATTTATTATAAACTAACGTTAGGTTTTTACACGATATATTTGTTTGTCGAGACAATAGAATACTATAATACAGAATAGAATAGCTGTGAACCTTATTTTGTACGAGGATTGGCGTCCCCGGGAGCACATATATAAGCAATTACGTCGTATTATCACTACTACAAACCCGATTCGCTGTGTTGACAGGCTGAGTAAGTTTACACATTTTAGACTTTTGATTAATGTTCAAGATGATAATTAAAAAAAAAAATCGTTTAAATTTTAAAACATATTTATTTGTAAATAGCGTGCAATTGAGCATTTTCTAAATAATTTGCATGCGAAATTTGGAAACGATTGTAACGTCAAAACACATCTCGTGTTGATATTTATACATGTGAATCGACATGTTAGTGACATTTCAGTCATTGACATGTTAGTGGCTACACGGGTTCCGCCCACTCCCCCGTTCTATTGTGTATGTATTATAGTGTTCTATGGTCGCACAATGGTTCATAGCTATGCTGGAATTTTGATAGTTGGCGCTGCTGATATTTATGGATGTTTTTGGGTCTAAAAGACCCAAACACATCCATAAATATTAAAATTAAAATTAAACTCATCGCACTACTTACCAGAAGTAAGTTGAAGTGGTAATGGCCTGGTCATGTAGCTCGAAGAACCTACAACCGATGGGGAAGAAAGGTTCTCGAGTGGCAGCGTCGTATCGGCGAGCAAAGTGTAGTGCGGCCCACCACTAGATGGAGTAACGACCCGGTAAGACATACAGGAAGTCGATGAATACAGGTGGTTCAAGATCGTGCTTTGTGGCATTCCTTGGGGGAGTCATATGTTCAAGAGTGGACTTGTGATGGACTGTAATGATGATGATGATTTTGATGTAACAGAGTGGGTCTTTCTTGGTCGGGTTAGCTGATTCATATATTATGCAAACATAATATTGACTCTAATCATGAACAAACCTTACACGTCTAAGAAATAAAATTTGGCGAAGACATATTGCACACAAGCATGATTTATCTACTCGCACTGAGGTAGTGTTGCGAACTAACTACATCATAATCGTTTCTGCGTACATTTATCCTATTTAAATGAAACTAAGCTTTACGGATTTGATCGATTATTTAACTCAATTTAAATTTCCGATATTTTGAGTAATTTACAGCACCCGTGGTCATGGGGGGGATTGAAATGTTCGACATTCCAATGTCATAGTTAACCACGGCTACCTCCGGCTTAAAATAAAATTAATAATAATAATAACAATCGGTAAAATAGTTTTTAAGCGCAAAATTAATTTTATTTTATGTGTTGTTTTCGTGTAAATATAAGAAATGATTAGGAGGTTTTTTCTTTTTATTTATTTAGGGGCTTTTATTCTTTTATTTTAGGATGGAATTAGAGCGGAGCTTCTGAAAGCGGGTGGAAAACCAGTACTTGAAGTCCTTCAGAGGCTCTTTAATTCCGTACTCCATGGTGGCACTACTCCGGAGGCGTGGAGCAGAAGTGCGGTGGTCTTTTTCTTCAAGAAAGGTGACAACGCTCTCTTGAAGAACTACAGACCGATATCCCTTCTAAGCCGCGTCTACGTGCTGTTCTTGAGAGTCATTAAGAATCGTCTCAAACGGCAGATTCTATGACTTCCAGCCTTCCGAATAAGCCGGTTTCCAAAATGGCTTTAGCAACATAGACCACATACATATCCTTCGGCAAATTGTACAGAAGTCCGAAGAGTACAATCTGCCACTTTGCTTGGCATATGTGGACTATGAGAAAACCTTTGATTCCGTCGAAATTTGGGCGGTGCTACAGTCTCTTCAGCGGTGCCAAGTTGACTGTCGGTATATCGAATTGCTGAAGTGTACAGAACCAGAGTACGAAACCTATCCAACTGCAGAGAGGTGTAAGACAGGGTGACGTTATTTCCCCGAAACTCTTCACCGCTGCATTGGAAGACGTTTTCAAGCTACTGAACTGGAAAGGATACGGTATTAACATCAATGGCGAGTACATCACTCACCTTCGATTTACCGACGATATAGTCCTTATGGCAGAATCACTGGAGGACTTAAGCACTATGCTCAAAGACCTCAATAGTGCCTCCCAACGGATAGGTCTTAAGATGAACATGGACAGAACAAAGATCTTGTTTAATGTCCATGTCACACCTATGCCGGTAGTTGTTGGGAGCACTAAGCTCGAAGTTGTTGACGAGTACGTTTACCTAGGACAAATAGTCCGACTAGGTAACTCCAACTTCGACCGAGAGGTCAATCGACGGATTCAACTCGGCTGGGCAGCGTTCGGGAAATTATGACGCATCTTCTCGTATACCTGATACCTCAAAACCTGAAAACTAAGTTATACAACCAGTGCGTGTTGCCAGTGATGACCTATGGACCGAGACGTGGTCCTTCACTGCTGGCCGTATGAGGACGCTTAAAGTCGCTCAGCGAGCAATGGAGAGGGGTATGCTCGGAGTTTCTCTGCGAGATAAACTTAGAAATGAGGATATCCGCAGTAGAACCAGAGTGACCGACATAGCCCAACGGATTAGTAAGCTGAAGTGGCAATGGGCCGGCCATACAGCTCGAAGAACCGACAACCGTTGGGGAAGAAGGGTTCTTGAGTGGCAGCCTCGTACCGGTAGGCGAAGTGTAGGGCGACCCCCCACTAGATGGAGTGACGACCTGGTAAGACATGCAGGAAGTAGATGGATGCAGGTGACTCAGGACCGTGCTTTGTGGCATACCTTGGGGGAGGCCTATGTTCAGCAGTGGACTTGTGAAGGGCTGTAATGATGATTCCGAAAGGATATATCAGCCCCATCCTACCTAGGATGAATTGTATGCTTGGAAGTGTGAGATGTGGGAGCAAGAATCAATAGAATAAAAAATAAAATCTTTGAAGGCGGTTTTGACTATCTCGTTGGAATAGATTTTTTTGCAAGAAATTGTCCAAATTCCAGAAAAGTGGCAATCTGTTGGAGCAAGATCTTGGGAAAACGTTCGAATCAAAAGCGTGCTGTGTTTTCTTTACAGTAGCTTCTCTACATTAATTATTCGAGCTGCTTCTGCAGCGCTGGTGCCACGGTGGAAGTCGTATTCGTAAATAACGCGATATTTTAAGTTTTTAATATTGTGAACGTGATGTCGAAGAAAAATCAAATGGCACGATAAATATGAATCATTAAATTCGGAACACAATTGCACAAGCCTAAATTTAAAATAAATGTGAATTTGGATTTTCTAAGCAAACGCCAGATATTTTGAGATCAAAGGGGCCAATTGAACAAAAAACTAATTTCATATGTAAGGACTTAACACGTGTGGTGTGCGTACCCAGGAGCGCACGCTGGTGGGCGCGGACCGGTGCGCGGACATCCAGCTGTCGGGGCTGGGCATCCAGCCGCAGCATTGCGAGCTGCGCCTGGAGGCGGGCGCGCTGCTCATGCTGCCGCGGCCGCAAGCGCGCTGCTTCGTCAACGGCGCGCCCGTGGCTGCGCCCGTGCGCCTGGGCCACGCCGACCGCATTCTCTGGGGCAACCACCACTTCTTCCGCGTCAACTGCCCCAAGGACACAGGTCAGACTTGCTTTAGTTTCTTGTCTAGTGTAACTTTAGCTATGAAAGTAACGGTGCACTCACTCTGTTTTACTTTTCATTACGAATTATTAAAATCCTCTCTTAAAAGACATTATTAACTAAGCTACTACACATTTTTGCATACATTTATTTATTGCTCTTATTTTTCATGTTTCTCATGTTTGATTTGTTATTTGCTTTTGTTATTATTTTTATATATTTTGTCATTGTTTTACGTAGCTCTAAATTTGTATAGTTGGTGCATAAAAATATATAATTTTAAGAACGTGTAGTCGCCGACAAATTGCAATTGCAATTTAGCGAGAATATTGTGTTGTAATGTATCTATCTTTGTATAAATAAATAAATTAAAAAAACTATTCTGTACTGGAGAGGATATAAAAAGCCTGTATACGAGGGTGACACTAAAAGTTCTTAAAATATTAAAACCTGAACAAACTAGCAAGCTATTAGTTTTATTATATACTTTCCAAATAGTGTCCATTTACATTTATACATCACTGCATCCGATGGAATCACTGAGAAAAGCACTTTACCCAGTCGTCCTAAGGGGTTTCAACGGCATTTTGAAACTAAGGTGGCAAACAATTGTAGTTAGTGTACCACCACTTTGCAGTAACTGTTTTTCGATCCTCCAAACAATCTTATGACCTGTCCTTCCGAAGAATGAGGCCACCATCTTTTGTCCCACGCTTCGACTTCTCTTCACTTTAGTTGGCAACTCCTCGGGAGGAAACACCCAGACAGCAGACTGTCTCTTAGTTTCAGGATCATAACAATATTAATCATAATAATTTAGCTTTCGTCACCCGTAAGTATGTCGAACACAGTATTTGAGTCTCTCTTTGAACTATTTCGCGACACCAATCAACAAAGCTTCCTGACCGTTAAATGTTCATGAAGGATTTCGTGCACTTAACTCATACCGGTGTCCAAGCTTGTCCGAATCTGCTGATAGGTCACTCTTTTGTCAGTTTCTATCATACGCCGCACAACACTGATGTTATCTTCAGTCATCGCCATATAAGGCCGTCCCTCACGCAGATCATCGGTGATATTAGTGCGACCACTCCTGAATATCACGCTGACAATAAAATTTAATTGTCATAGTAACAGACCCCTCACAGTCATATTTTTTGTTAATAGCTCTATGTCATCGGTTTCTTTTAGGAATAACAATTTTCGTAGTAATTATTTCATTATTTTTTAAATATTTTCTATTTTTTCTATTTCTCTCTAACTCCCTCTCAGTTATATTGTAATAAACTATTAATATAAATCTAAGTAGTCAGTAAATATTTTAATTTGTATTTAGCCGCGGCCGCTTCCGAGCCCCAGACTCCTGCGCAGCCGATCGACTACAACTTTGCGCGCGACGAGATCATGCTCAACGAGCTGAGCAATGACCCCATACAGACCGCTATCTCTCGACTCGAAAGACAACACGAGGAGGACAAACAGGGTAAACATCTACAAATATTATGTTACTTATACTGATTACGATTTTTTAAGAAAACAGTACGTGTTTTATAATGAGTTATATGTCCCACCTGATATCTGGTTAGTGCATACAGCAACATCTAAAATTGATAAAAGACCAAAATATACATAACATGATTTTAAGTACCTTGTTACTTAAGTATGTCCAAATAAAATCAGGGCGAGCTGCCTCGTGAACATGACCATGTGTTTTGTGAATATGTGAACGTAACGAAATGGGTCAAAATATAGGCGCACCTCCGCTGCGTGCAATGTTTCACAGTTTTTACCCAACGTAACGATTTCTTTGATCATTTAGCTATCGAGTGGTTTAATTAAATCTTAGATGTAGAAGCAACACTAAGGTAAATCCCCCGATTTTGTTATCATGGTTTTCCGAATTGCCTCCCACTATGGAAGCAATTTAAAGACGTATTTACGTCAAAAAATCCGTCGTCGATTAAAAGAAAATTTAACTTAGATTTTAAGAAAATGTTTAAGAAAAAATATGTATATTTATAATTTAATTTATTATAATGAAAAGACAACATCAAGTTTGCGAATAATATACTCTCAAATCTTACGACGGTTATATTTCCGCAGAGACTAGTATTAATTTTTTTTTGTATCAATTTCAATTCATAAATTTTCGAACGGAAATTCGAACGGAATGTAAAAAAATACGTGTGAGATACGCTGCACATGAGTATTATGACTACAGCGTAAATTATCTTAGACATGTTTAATCGTTACATAAATGAAAGTAATAATAAACAGGCTTTTTCTTCACTATTAGAACCACATTTTGGAGACAACATAAAAAATATTATGATAGTTTCCTTAGATGTGTAATCAAACACTATATATAGCGGCACTAATAATTACATTATTTCTTTAACATTTCAGTTGCGCTGGAGAAACAGAGACAAGAGTACGAACGTCAGTTCCAACAGCTCAGAAATATTTTATCCCCCTCAACCCCATATCCGCCGTATTCTTATGACCCAATAAAATTAGGTTTGTACACAGTTGATTATTTTGTGAAACATTGTGAAAATTGTACTTGAACTCCTACTTTTACTTTAAAAACTATTGCTATTAGTACGGTCGCCATTCGCCTGCTATGCGTCGTTATTTCATTATTCATATCATGAACATAGGGCCATAGCTATGGTAGATTTATTATTGTGAACCCTCTCTTCTATGGGAGAGGTATTTATGTATTGAAATTGTTTTTTTATAGGATAGGGTGACAAACCACACAGTCCACCTGATGGTAAGTGGTTACTGTGGCTCATAGACATCTACATCTATCCTCCATTACAAATCAAAATGCAGATGCGTTGTCATCCGTGAGGACTAAGATGATGTGCCTCGTTTCCAGTAAAAAGGGTCTCCGGTTTTCTCCACTCACCATATGAAACGCAGCAGCATTAAGTCACTATTTCACGCTGGTATTCTGTGAGAGCGTGGTCCTTCCCCGGTCGAGCCGACCCATTCGTGCTACAACTATACTACTAATATAACTGCAGTATGGCTCTACCACGTATAAAAATGTTTGCGGATAAAGAGAATTAGAAAAAGATCAATCAGTCCATTTTGTATCTTGCGTATTGTAAGGGGCGACTATGAGTAATACCAAAAAAAATAGCATGGCTTGCGATATTTAGTACATACATAATAGATTGGGGGAGTAGGCGGAGCCCGCGTAGCCACTAAAATGTTATTAATACGTCAATTCACACGTATAACTGTCAACACGAGATGTGTTTTAACCAAGGAGGTTATAAATAAATATATAGGGAGTGCGCACTTCATACTAGAAAAACGGTCCTAAATCGGTGACCTTGAAATGAATGAAAGGCACCGAGTTAGGCGTTCCGTTTCTTTCTAATGGAGTGTCCATGATACAATATTTTGAGGATATTAATAGTATGTACTTACAGAGTTACAGAAAACGGAATGCGTATTTTTTCAATATGTAAAGCGCTGAAGTGTTATAATTAAACTCCGTTTATTATTTTGATTATAATATTGCTTCGCTACGGTATCAAACCTTACGGTAACCTTAGCGATCAAACAAATCGCACTCAACCAAGCATACTTATTAATAGAATTTAAGCTTATATGAAACTCAATTTCTTCTCAGTCACGATGTTTGCCTAATAGGTGGCTAGGTTTGAACCCATCTTTACCACACCAGTTTCACCACAGGAGCCAACATGTCACATGGGCTTCCTGGTTAGCCGAAATAAATTTTTAAGGGTAAAAAAAACAACGAGTTTTATTTTTTTTTATTAAAAGATTTATAGGTTACTAAACAAAATGGTTTTATGTAATTTTTGTCGGGATACATTCTTGGAATCCCGCAATTTCATGGTCCTAGACCTTTGATGGTGCTTGATCTTCATGTTCAGGAAACTTATCACTATAGATTTTAGCAATTGAATATTATGCAAGTCTCCGCAATCAATACCCTGGCTTAGAGAATGTGGAAACATAGATGAAATTTTATCAGAAAAATGCTGCATTACTATTTGTATGATCCTTTTTTTTATAGTGCTGTTTCATAGAGTTTAAATCTATTTGTTTACATGTTCTTTCGGTGAACTTTACCACTTGGAACACAGATTGTGATGGAAAAAATAGCATGCCTCTATTTACAAAAGCAGTAAACGCTGAATGCTTATTAACATCAATTGTGTATAAGTGGTCAACATTTTTACCTATGTCTTTTATCAAATTTTGACATTCTTCACATGTTATTTTACTGTGGAGATTCTTAACAATACAACCAGTTATATAATATAATATATTATTTTGATAACTGGAAAGCGAGACATTGTTTATCAATGAAATCAATGTTTCACTTTCATTCTCTTGTTCAATCGACTCTAATTGCATTGCACGTTGAGGAGACCTAAACTCTAAAATTGGAGTTAATTCATAGTCACTATCGTAAGTATTGCTATTTACGCTTGGCATTACACTATTTTTGAAAAGTAATTTACGAGAATTGGCGAGAAACTAGTTCGTCTTCCTTCTGGAACCCGTACATTCTGGTCTCTCGCCAAGGCTGTCCAGGGGAATTTCTGTCAGCCATCTCTTCCATCTCTGCACAGGGTGGACGACTCACTGGCCCACACTGCAAAGGAGAAAGCTATCTGTTAGGCTCTTTCTTTGCGTCTAACTCGACTCTCTATGATGGGGTAGTACGCCCCCGACCATCCCGCGGTGTAAGTGCTCCATGCCGGAAGTGCAGTTCACTCAGCGCTCGGTTCGCAAAGCACTCCTCTCCCTGGACATCCACAAGTCGAGTGGGCCTGACGGAATCCCCCCCAATTGTGCTGAGGACGTGTGCTCCAGAGTTGGCACCGGTTTTAACGCGTTTTTTCCGGTACTCCTACTCCCTAGGCGTAGTCCCAAAATCATGGAAGACGGCTTTCGTCCACCCGATCCCTAAAAAAGGCGACCGCTCAGACCCGTCCAACTACCGGCCTATCGCCATCACCTCCTTGTTCTCCAAAACAATGGAGTCCATTGTAAACTGCCAGCTCATGAGGTACCTTGAGGATCACCAGCTGATTAGTGACCGCCAATACGGTTTTCGCCGTGGTAGGTCAGCTGGTGATCTTCTGGTCTACCTAACTCACAGATGGGCGGAGGCAGTAGAGTCCAAGGGGGAGGCATTGGCCGTTAGTTTGGACATTGCGAAGGCCTTCGATCGGGTTTGGCACAAAGCGCTTCTTTCGAAGCTCCCTTCCTATGGGCTTCCCGAGAAATTGTGCGATTGGATCACCAGTTTTCTTGCAGATCGGAGCATCAAGGTCGTTGTAGACGGTGCAAGCTCCGATTGCAAGCCTATTAATGCTGGTGTTCCACAGGGCTGCGTGCTATCGCCAACGCTGTTTCTTCTGCATATCAATGATATGTTGCAGACCCGTAACATTCATTGCTATGCAGATGACAGCACTGGTGATGCTCTTTACACCGGCCGAGCCAATATTTCTCGGGAAAACGTCTCCGAGTGCCGGGACAAACTTGTGTCTGAAGTCGAGTCTCTGCTGGACAGAGTCTCGGATTGGGGGCGACTAAATCTAGTCCAGTTTAACCCCCAGAAGACACAAGTTTGCGCGTTAACCGCTAAAAAGTACCCCTTTGTCGTATCCCCTCAGTTTCAAGGCACTCCCCTTGTTGCCTCAGCCAGTATCGGAATCCTCGGCGTCGACATATCGAGTGGCGTGCAGTTTCGTGGTCACTTGGAAGGGAAGGCCAAATTGGCCTCTAAAAAGCTTGGCGTGCTCAGCAGAGGACAGTATTTCATGCCGGCACACCGCCTGCAACTTTACAAGGCGCAGGTTCGGCCGCACATGGAATACTGTTCCCATCTCTGGGCTGGGGCTCCCCAGTACCAGCTCCTTCCACTTGACCACATCCAGCGCAGAGCGGCTCGAATCGTCGACGACCGAGTGCTTTCCGATCGGCTCGATTCTCTGGCACTGCGAAGAGATGTTGCATCCCTTTGCATTTTCTTTCGCATATACCATGGAGAGTGCTCTGAGGAATTGTTCGGATTAATCCCAGCCGCCAAATTTCGTGAACGCACTACGCGGCAAACGTCCCGATACCATCCACACCATCTGGATGCTTGGCGGTCCACCACTGTACGTTTCAAAAGGAGTTTTCTTCCGCGTACAACCTCTCTGTGGAATAATTTACCACCAGCGATTTTTCCGGACCGATACGACCTGGGGACCTTCAAGAAAAGAGCTTACTCCTTTCTAAAGGGCCGGCAACGCGTCTGCAATTCCCCTGGTGTTGCAGTTGATCATGGGCGGTGGTAGTCACTTAACATCAGGTGAGCCACATGCTCGTTTGCCCCCTCTTCTATAAAAAAAAAAAAAAAAAAAAAACGTAATGTGTATTTCAGTTGCAATGCATTTGGATTGTCATTGCCACCACCTCGGGCCCTTATGCAGGAAAATAACATCTCAATATGATCTTGTGAGCACTTATAAGTTAAAAAATATTTCATAGGATCTATGGTACGTGTCAGTAAATCTTTCGCCAAATTTGAAAAGCTTATCGTATTCACATAAAAACCTAAAGCGAATGTTTTTCTACGATGTTGCATTATACTTTGACCCTCAATTGTTAAATTAAGCAAGAAATTACGTATTTCTTCAAAAATAGGTTCCCAGAAGGTTATATTTTTCAAGGTTAGTGGAGCTTTCAATCCCTTCCCTATTGGATTTTTGCCGTTCATCAAATCAAAAGCTTTGTCTAAATGTCGGATATAATCAACAGTAGCTTCACTATTTTGAAATTTTTTGTTTCCGCTGACCCTTAAAAAATCAATCGAGTCAGCTACAGAGACGCTTATCAACTGACTAGCTAATTTTACATTCATTTTATTCCCCCAAAAGTTAACATGTGTATTTGTTAATTTGTTCGCAAACCTAAAACCTTCAGACTCTTGTAATTTATTTAAAGCTTTAATATATTCAAATGATATAATGCCTAAATTAGATTTCATAGGGAATTCACCTAAAGTGTTTCGAGCAAGTTTCAGCATATGAGATGGGTCAAATATACAATGCACCTCAGTTACTCCATCAGGATGTTTAAAATTTGACTTAATATTAGGAACATCAAAAACGCACCCGAGCTGTTCAAATGTTCTTAGATTTACCACAGTACCATCACATGTTATCGAATGAACGATTATGTTGATATCATGCAACATTTTTATAGCTGTATGAACTAACTGCGACTGGATAGTAGCTGTTATTTTGTTTATTAAAAAGTAGCCTATACAGCATTTGAACCTACTTGTGTAAGACACTATTTGAAAAATTAAAGATTCTTTCGCCACTTCATAGGAATCTACATTTTCAATTCCACCCAAATCAACATAACCCCAAGTTTTATCTGAGTTTTTCTCATACACGAGCTCCGATTTAATAGCCATTGAGTCAAAAATCAGGGCAACATGAATTAAAGCGGGATTCGTTTGGACATTTAATTTTAAAAATTCAAAAACTTCCTTAAGGAAACCGACATTACACTCTGCAGAAGAAAGCATCTTGCGAATTGTAGCAGGATGTGGCAAATTAATGCATGTGCGCAAGAATCTGTATGCCCGTGGAGAATAGTAATTAAGAGTTAGAGCAAACTGCTTAAGTTCCTTGCTATATCTTACACCTGGTGATATCTTAGATTTATTTTTAGGTTTAAATTCTGAATAAATATTGCAAAAATGATCTCTAATGATACTCTCAATATCTTCATAATGCATAGTCCTTTTTTTCACTACACTAAGAAGATTTTTCATCGACGTAATCTTCAAATCTCTGCGTTTTAATTTTTGTTTAAGAATTTTAACTTCTCTTTTTATTTGACTATTTTCTTTACCTCTTGATGTTTGTACATACTTATGCGCGACACATTTCCTTTTATTGGATTGGGGAATATTGAGTGAAGGGCTCAAATCAGATAATGGTCGCTTTCTTAACGTGATTTCCTGAGAAGATGTATTTGGCACTGACTCGTAACACATATCAATTTTCATTGAATTAGCTGGAACATCTTGGTGAGCCATGATGTTTGGTGGTTTTATTTGAATATTACTGATCACCTTCACAGTTTCCATGGGCATCTAAAATAATATGAATTGTTAAATTACACTTCAAGAATTAAATTAGTATAATTTAATGGAATAGTAATATCATTTAATGTAATAGAAACATAAGTAATTAACCAGGACTAGAAGTTGTTAATTATTTATTTATGTTTATAGCGCAGTTATGGAATAACATATTATGTCCAGCAGAGAGAAAAATGGAATTAATTGATTGATGATGCAAGAAAACTAGAAAGAAAAATTATCATAATTTTAGCTCGGGTTAAATATTGTACAATGAATTTCAAACTTTGTTCTTCCATTTTTTTATTAATCTATGCCACATTGTTGCTTCAACTGTAGTTACTGTAATTTATAAGAAGTATTATGACATTTATATTAAAATTAATACATGCCGTTACTAGAACTGATGGCACTGCATTGACTGTTAAGCGCTTTCTGGCTCCTTGGATAACAAAATCCTGACTTTTGAAATGGTTAGAGCAAACTTTTTTGTATTTAGTAGATCCTTTTACCGGAACTATTTTGATCCATGCTTTCAGTGCATCTTCCTTCACCGGGAAACTTAAACAAATATAGATATATAATAATAATTATGAAAATAAATGCTTCCAGCTTATTTTCTCGTATTTCTTAACATGAGAGTACCCAACTTCCTTGAAGAGATTGAGATAAAGAAAGACGTGACATTCATATTATAAATCATTTTATTAACTGTGACTTCGTCAAATAATAGAAGTTAGAAAAAAATAATATCTATAATGCCGCAGGTAATTGAAATCAGGACTAGATTACATTTTAATTAGGCCAAGGTCCTTCTCACGCATCTTATACTACTCACTAAAAAAAAATTACTTTTGGATCGTAGCAGTTGGCACTCTGTGGTCTCTGCCTACCGCCATGGGAAAAAGGCGTGAGTTTTGGTTTATGTATGTATGTAACACTTTTTCGTCAATTGTGTTATTCATATTCAAAGTTATTGTTTTTATTCTTATTATTGGTCACTTTACCAACAAAACATTCTATATAATTTTCTTTGAAATATACGAAACGGTAGCAAAATATATATCTGAGAATAACAGGAGAGATCCATAATCAAAATTGAAAAATAGCAGATGCTGTATTCACGAAATTCAGACTTAAAAACAATATTAAAACTACGAAAGTGTGAACATATCACAATATACTCTATAAATTTTTCTTACCTATGGAATGACAAACCACATCCAGGGTAACTTTCACTTCTACAACCTTTCACACAACACGAAAATACCATTTTCACTAGAAAACCCGAAAAGTTCTGCAATATTAATTAAATCAATTAAATCACATTCGCTGATGACAAGTCAAACAGAGAATAGAAGCCAATAGCGCCATATTTATGCATTTAACAACGTCAAATTTTAAAATAGGTTTGTCATCTATAGCATAAAATGCACCCCATAGTTTTCAGGGAAAGTACATTCGTGTTTTAATGTTTTTTTTTTCGTGTAACTTAATAATATGCTTAATTGGAATACAATATGGAATGTACCAATTATAATGTGCGATAAAAATGTAAGATTCGTTCAAGCATACGTCGTAAATACTACTTTAACTCAATAACTGCCTAAATGTTGGTTATTTTTTATTTTGTGTAAACATTTATTAATGCTAGAAGGAGATATAATACCAAACTCGGTGCCTCTCTATCTAAGGAAAATGAAGAACGGTTTCAATGTTCTAAGCGCTTGCTCCCTATATATTTATAACCTCCTTGGTTTTGACTTTACAATCGTTTTCAAATTTCGGATGTAAATTATTTAGAAAATGCTAAATTGCACCCTTTTATTTCAAATAAATATGTATTAATTTAAATGATTTTTTAATGATGATCTTGAACGTTAATCAAAAGTCTAGAATGTGTAAATTTATTCAGTCTGTCAACACAGTGAATCAGGTTTGGCGACGCCAAACCTCGTACGAAATAAAGTTGACAGCCATTCTATTGTGTATTATAGTATTCTATGGCATGAAATGTGAGCGTGAGGGGTGTAGGACCTTAAAAAAATATTAACAATACGCGACACTGGTTAATTGTCACACCAAGGGTGCGTTCTGGTATACTTGAGCTCTGTAATATGTGAAGCCGTTCCTTTTTAGTTTGCTATACCGGTTACTGTTACGTAAAACGGAAGTCGGCAGTCTAGTATACTGTCATCTCCATTTTTCAACGCTGTTTTCAAATGAAAATGTTTAGTACATGACAAATATTTTCATTTGAAAACAGCAAAACGTTTTCTGTTCACAAAAAAAAAATATTATTTCAATGTTGTTGTTTTTAAAATTTAATGTCCGAGTTTGTAGAATAACAATATTAATTAATAATAATAACGATAATTCGTGGAAGCTGTTAAATTTCTAGGCGCTGTTATGTTTTTTGATGACGTGATTAAAGTACTGAGAGCATCTTGCCTCGAAAGCATCAGTATTTTGGAAGTATTTTGAAGCTCACGGTACAAAAATACTGGCAGTCCATAACGCAGCGAATTTTTCACCAGAGAGAGCACTGAGCGGTGCTCACAGTGTATATATCGGAACACGGCCCCAATGTAATAGACGTTGTACCTCGATGCGCTGGCTGTGCTTGAGACCGTGTGTGTGTGTGTATGTGCAGGCAAGCTGGCGGCGTGCACGCCGACGACGGCAGCGCGCGTGGAGCGCTGGGCGGCGGAGCGCGACGACACGTTCCGGCGCTCGCTGGGCCGCCTCAAGGCCGACATCCTGCGCGCCAACGCGCTCGTGCAGGAGGCCAACTTCCTGGCCGAGGAGATGCGCCGCAACACGCGCTTCAGCGTCACGCTGCAGATCCCGCCGCAGAACCTTTCGCCCAACAGGAAGGTTGGCACCCGCCACCTTATCTTACACCTTAAACCATCCACAAAAATACTTTTTCTTCTAAAGCAACGCACTCATAAAATATGCTATATTACCGGTGGATAAGGTTGGAGTTTGACTGACTATATCATTTGAGAACAGCAGAACTTTGCTCCACTTTCAACGGTTATAGCAAAGCCAGAGACGTAATTAAAAAAGTGCATAGGAAATAAAATACTAATTTGAGAGCAGTGTTATTTAGAGATGGGCCAAATATTCGTTTTATGTTCGGTATTCAGCATATTGGCAGCTTTACCGAATATTCGTATTCGGCCGAATATTCGGCTAAATCACCGAACATTCGGATCGAACATTTTCGTAGTGTCCAATGTATTGAAATGTACGAATTGAATAATGCGATGTCTTTTACTGTTGAAAGTATATTTTATTTATGGGTTAAATAAATGTACTTGCTCTAGAGTGCCTCAAATGCATAAATTTATACATTTATGTTTTTGAGGCATTGTAGATTTATTTCCGATTATAGCAAATAGAAATTTGATAAAATGTTTTTGGAATCAAACAACATTAAACAAGAAACATTACATTACATTAGTACATTTCACGTTACTTTGGTCATCAGTTTCTCTAAAATAAGTCCAAATAGTAAATCTCCTGCAGCTCATTTTTATCATATAATTGTCATAATAATTTCTCATATTTACGCGAACACTTCACATTGATTATAACTACTTTTACGGATTATATCGCGTTTAATTTTACTTTTAATTATTTTTATTTTTAATTCCCGACGTTTCGAGTGCTTTGCAGCACCCATGGATACGGGGGACTGAGGTGAATGACGTCCCAATGTCATTGTTAAACCCGGAGTACCTTCAGCTTTTTTACCATAAACAATAATTAAAAAAGCTGAAGGTATTCCGGGTTTAATAATGACATTGAGACGTCAGTCACCTCGGCCCCCCCCCCCCCCCCCGCATGAAGGTTAAAGAACAGGAGAACGATCGCCGTAGAAAATAGTGTCCCAGAAATATGGACACCATCAGTGAGGCGCTTCGATTACTAAGTGCCGTTAATAAAAGTCATTTTCAGTCTATTTTTCCGATCTGATGCTCAACCACTTGCACATCTACGCACAATAAAATATTTCTCCATTTTTTAATGTTTCTTTTTGTCAAAAATTACAAAATTACGGAGCATAAAAATTTTCTACGAAAAAATGAAATGAAAATTTGTACATTATTCAACTAACTTCAACTACTTGTACTCATAAACAGCTAACTTCGCAGTAACTACGCACCGGCTATGCTTTAGTACGTAGTGATCGTTCTCCTGTTCTCTGACCTTCGTGGTCCCCCGTGACCATGGGTGCTGGAAAGCACCTGAAACGTCGGGAATTAAAAATAATTAAAAAACTCCATGACGTTTGGAATACGTTGTTAATTGCCACGCGTAGGGTGCATAAAAATATTAAAATTTTGATACTATAAATCTTTTGTAATCATTAATTTTTAGATTAAAAAATAAATTTTAAAAATATCTAATTACCGTAGGCTTCTACTTTGTTCACCATTCTAGCCAGTACCGGTTATTATCGGGTAATAACGAGTTGGTTTCATTTTTAGCTTAATTCAATTCGTCCTCAGGCTAACATTCGGCTGAGTAGGCTCTCAACAATTTATTCCTTTGACTGCAAAATTTTTCAATTGATATTTCGTATAATTTTTGTAAGAAATTTTCTGTAGGTCTGAAATAAATTTGTATGACTATTTTATTATTAATCGGAAGCCTTCGGCAATGGACTTGTATGGTCAGATTTAGGGGGCAAAGGAAAGAATTCGGAAGACGTTTTAATTATAGTTGAGTGCCTGTGTTGCAGCGCGGCGCGTTCGTGTCGGAGCCGGCGATCTTGGTGCGGCGCGCGGGGCGCGGCGGCCAAGTGTGGTCCATGGAGAAGCTCGACAACAAGCTCGTCGACATGCGCGACATGTACGACGCCTGGCGCCGCCGACAGCAGCACGGCGAGGACCAGCTCGAGGAGGTACGTCTCTGTCGCTGCATTGCTCTGTGCTGTTAACGCGACCCTTCGTTTGATGGCTCCTCAAATTAATTATATATTTCTTCTCAAAAAATTTTAAAAGGTAATAAATTGTATCTTCTAATATGAAAAAGAAAATAAAAATTGGGTATTTGTCACCTTAGTCAGTTAAAATACTGTTTAAGAGCGCTCAAAAATATTTCTATGAAAAATGTATGGAGGTATAGTGTAATGACGTTACAGTTTTTATAATCAAAAATCATCTAATTCATATATCTTCTCTTCTTATTTTACTTAAAATACAAAATCAACCAAGTTGTCAGACAATACTAAAAGTAGCAAATTTAAATTATAATATGATATACGTAGTAATTTATTAATGATCGTGTCAACTACCCAATTGTTGTTTTTGTTTTGTTCGTTTAGGAAAAAACACAGACATCCGAACACACGCTGACACTATTTCAAAATGATTACATTACTAAACTTTAAAATTTGTATAGAAAATGTCTATAAAGCTGGTCTATAAATTAATGTAGAAATATATGTTATGAGTCCGCTTGATTTTAAAATTCAATAACCATAAAAATTCGTTCCCATCAGTTAATTTAAATATGTGTGCTATAACCTTATACATATTTCAGGAGCCTGAGCAATTACACGCAGAATCACCTACGGTGCGTTAATGTTATTTGTAGATTATTATTCATTTTAACTCATTTTTTTACCCTGTACTCGGGTTTTTCTTTGAGTTTTTTTTATAAATCTTTGTTATACTACTTTTCATTTCGCAATATAGTCAGATAGACAGTCTGGTCTATCTTTTCTTATGTTTAGGTTCATTTTATTATCAAATATTCCTTTTTGTTGGATATTTTGTATTGGCACCATATCTGATACTTCTATCCTATCAACAATACTATATTAATAGTAAAATATATTATTAGATAAACTATATTAATAGAAAAATAAGTATACTTCTATCAACAATATATTACTTCCAATACAAGTCACATACAAAATCAAGGCGAAAAGGATGTTAGCGTCGATGTATTACTTATTTGTTAATTACGTATCTGAAAGAGTACTCTAAGCAATTCTAATTTTAATGTAATAAAACGCCTTGTCAATAATTTATGTTCTTTCAACAGCCAAAAGGAGTAAGGTCATAAATTAAGCAGTTATATTAAAAATCTTACAGCAGTCAATGTAGAAATCACCTTTTTAATTAAAGATCTTACTTTGATAATATTTCAGGCCTATTTCCTGATAGTCACATTTTCAGTTTTGATCTGCCGTCTATTTTTATTTTGTTGATAGAAAATGTTAAGTTGATAGTTATTTTTTCCCTGTGTTTATATGATCGTTATAAATTGACCGAATTACATTTTCACACCATGATGGTAATTTAGAAAAAAGTAGTTAATTTTTAGTAGCGAGGTTTTATCATTCACATTATTTGCAGTTATTGCATGCATTTGTACATTACATTTTAGGTAATCATCTAATCATGTTTTATTTTTGTTACTAAGTAAGATTGCTATAACTTTTTTAATAATTTTGTAGGAGCCCAGCGAAAAAGCTCTGGATCCGTTCTATGAGACGCAAGAGAATCACAACTTGATTGGCGTGGCGAACATCTTCCTCGAGGCGCTGTTCCACGACGTCACCCTCGACTACCACACGCCCATCATCAGCCAGCAGGGCGAGGTGGCCGGACGTTTGCAGGTGATAAGACTCTTGAGCTTTTCCGTTCAAATTAATTGTTTTACGTTTTTAGTAGAGAAAAATTTGTGAAACATTCGCGCAAGATTTTCGTGCACGGTTTTCTATAATACAAATCTTGGTGTGTTTTGGGTACAAAGTTCAAGTACATTAATATTTTAGTCTACAGAACTCGAAATGACCATTCGGAAATAAACATTGTTAAAAATTACAGACCTGTGGTATTTTAGGTAAATATTCTGTGTTATATTATATGCATTTTCACCAACCGACAATCTCTCCCAATTACCGAGGCGAGACTAACAGATGGTAATGGGGAGTTGAAATAACTATTCCAGAAGTTAACTTCAAATGGATTGGGCTGGGCTTTTTAAACCTCCCCAACGCGTCGAATATGATCAAATCTTTCAATGTAATCGAAAAATGTAGATTGATAAGTATTTAGTAGTAGATTAAATAATAATATTTACCAATCTCTATTATTTATTATATTTTTGATACTGGCCGTTTACATTTAATAAAATTGAAGGAGATTGGTGTCGTTTGATGTAAACAACAACGAAAACGAAATGGACGGACGAATAAGTACAACTTAGTAGAAATATTGAGCCCAAAAAGAAATTCTAAAAGAACTATAGCCTTAATAAATAAAGACTAATGTATTATTGCATTCTCCCAGACTTAACTTACGCTAGCCAGACATGATTTTTAACTGAAAAAGTAAAAAACAAATTTTCATTTTGTCAACATGCAATGGAACGTATTATACAGAAGCCAAGAAAAATACAAAAACCGAAAAACGCAGACATCCGCATGAATACTAAGCTAACAGATGCTCTTCCTTTTAGTTTGAAACAGAAATGGAACTGGGAAGGCAATTGTCAAGTGTGAAGATTAGATATGGCTTACCAAACAACTGAATAGCAGGGTCCAAAAGTCAAAAGAAACGTGGGAAGACAGAAGAAAAGATGGGCCGATGACATAATAAACACAGCAGGAAAAAGTTCGATGCATACGGCCAAAGACAGAGAAAGATGGAAAAGAATGGAGGAGGCTTTATCCATAGGGGACTACATAACTAAGAAATGGAAAGGAAATAGTTATAATTGGATGTATATTTGTAAGAATTGTTAAGCGGAAGAATAAAACAGCAATAATAATAAATAATAAGTTGCATTTAATCCACGTTTCATTTTGATGCATTTTCCGACAGGTCGAAATAAGTCGAGTTGCTGGACAGTTCCCGCAAGATAGAATATGCGAAGCAGCCTCTGATAGCTCCGGCGACATGCGAGACGACGACGAGCCCGTCGACACTGCTTCGCAACAGGTTTGATACTATACATTTTATATTATGTAATCGTGTTGTAATAGTACCTGTATCTAAAGATGCAACTGCACATATTACACGTGTAAAATATATGGCAGGTCGAGAGAAAATTATGTCATATTTTTAGAGCTAGCTAGTAAATAATTGCATTCTTTTGCACCTTGTTCATAACACGATAATTGTAAGCACTGATAACTATAACAAACATCACACACTGTACATTTTACATTTTTAAATATATTTATTTTGAAGTAATTACGTATGCATACAATTATTTTAATTAAAAGTTGTGATTTTTATATATTGTGATTGGTGAATGCCTTATATGAATCACAATTAAATTTTATTATATAAGCATTAATTTTAATATTGAACAGCAGACCTGTTTCATGCATAAAATAACTATAAGGATTTTTTCTTTATCGTAGAAGTGTTTAACTTAAATTGCACTAAGACATACATTTCCGATCTGTTTTAACAATCAATTACTTGTGCCTTACGAGATTTTAATTTTTTCTTGTCCGCTTGTCCGCATCGCCGTAGCCAAACATTTGCTACCGAGGCGTCATACTGTACTGTGACTGTAACGTAAAGTAATAAAACGCAACGTTTCCAGGTGACGATCCGCGTGGCCATCAAGCAGGCGACGGGATTGCCGCCGTCCCTGTCGCACTTCGTGTTCTGCCAGTACACGCTGTGGGGTGGCGGTGAGCCGGTGGTGGTGGCGCCGCTGGTGAGCGCGGACGCGCCCGTTGCGCCCGCGCCCTCGCCAGCCCCCGCCAGCCCCGCCGCGCCCGCCTCCCCCGCCTCCCCCACTTCCCCGCGCCATACGTCCCACCTCACAGTGCGCTTCGACCACAAGCGGGACTTCAAGCTGCCGCTCACCGAGGAGTTCGTTGAGCACTGCGCCGGTATGTCACAATTGAAGTTGAAAACTGAACTATTCACAGTACTTTGTCTTAACATATTATTTGTTACATATGCCAACTGTTGCTACAAATCCTCATCTGTACGCGATACACGACTGACTAACTAATGCCGACAAATTCCCATCCATATAGGCTGACCTGCTTGCCTAGCATGTGTCAGACTATATATATATATATATATATATTATGCGAAAATAATTAATGTTACCTGGTAATTTCTTGGCAAGGTATATGACAAATAGTAAAAAAAGTTGCAGTACCCTAATAATTTTACTGTAGTTACATTGTCGTCATATAAAAATAACTGAGAATAAGCGACATTATTTAACGCAGAAACTTGTTATTATTTAACATTATTTTACCTTTGATGAATATAAAATCATGCCATGCTGCAATTTGGTGATGGATAATGAACGTGTTAGCACTGTCGGACACATCCTCACTCTCATGGGATACCAGCGTTAGATATATAATAATGTAAATTGTAACTAACGTTAAACTATTATTAAAAAGCTTAATTGAAAAAATATTTTGTGTTCTAGTTGTAGTTTGTAATTAATAGTATTGTTTAATGACCAGAGTATGAATTTGTGCGATAATAAAAATGATTAATTCTTGAATTTGAACGTGTTGGAATTTTTTTTCTGGAATTTTTGCACAGTGCAAAGAATTATTATGATTTTTACCTCATGGTTGTTAAGAGGCATTATAACCTTAGATTGTATGGAGCTTATCTTAGCGCACTATATATCTAACATTAGGAGGTTAGAACAATTTTATACCTCTATGTTCGCTTATACATTTGTAGCACTATAGTATAGTCTTTCGCTGTCAATATCTTTCGACATGAGGAAGTTAAAAATGTTACAGGAGTGGTCGCCGAAGGCAAAATTGGTTAATAAAACGTTATTATCAATCACATTAATACATGGGTTTTGAAACCGCCTAGAGCTGATTTTGTTGTACGATAAGTTATGGCTAAGTGTGCGCACACTTTCTTATACTACGAGTTACGTTATTTTGTGAAATCACAATTTCATTTATACTAGATGATTTTTTACCTTCTAGAAAAAAAAGGCTGTAACGAGTGAACAGAATAGAACCCTTTGGCCCTGATATTTTACATTTTTTTTTGCTTCTATATTAACATATTATGAAATTGATCTATCAATAAATACTGCTAATTTGAAATAAACTTTCGGTATTAAAAAATATGTGTGGCACTCGGTGACTGCCGCGGTAAAGCTATTGCATAGCATTTTTATCAACTTATGCAATTATAATTATTTATTTATTTTATTTATGCAGTTAAGTCTTTGATATTAAATCAAGTTACACTTTTTGAGCGTGGTGACCGATAAGAAAACAATTTTTTTCTCTTGTAACTTAATAAATGAGAAGTTAATATTGTTTAAAATATTTTAATATCTTACAATACATGTAGGTTATTCAGGAATTTTTATCATTGAGTTAGCAGCTAGTGTACACGCATACGTCTAGTCGCACGCACACAAACACCGTGCCGAAGTCTGCCGAGTGCCGAAGTCTGCCGAACTGAAACGACGTTAGACGATGCACGGCTTTCAACGCCACACCTCCGTGCCTGTCGGAGTGGGGAGCGTGAGATTTTTTTTTTCGTTACGGAATTTCTGGATTCGGTCCCCGCGCTCAAGGCCCGCGATAGAAGCTATGCATTAGCTTAAAAATAAAAACAAAATTTTTGAATTAAATAAATAAATCAAAAACTATCGAAATTAAAATAATACGCACCCAATTAGTAGTATTTATTGATAGATCAATTTCATAATATGTTAATGTAAAAGCAAAAAAATTGTAAAATATCAGTGACGTAGGCTTCTATTCCGTTTACCTGTTACACCCTATTTTTTTCCAGATGGTAAAACAATCACAAGTATATAAGAAAGCCTATGCTCAGCCCTAAGATAGGATTTCGCTTGTTAAACTGGTAGTTTTATACAAAAATTATAAGTGAAACTAGCACTACAAACTACAAAAGAATCGTATGTAGGAGAGCTTAAGTTTGATTTTCCATCGGTAAACGCGTTGTGATGTATGTGTGCAGAGGGTGCGCTGTCCATCGAGGTGTGGGGGCACAGGTCGGCCGGGTTCAGCCGCGCGCGCGGCAACTGGGAGGTGGAGCAGCGCCAGCTGGCTAAAGCGCGCTCGCTCGCCGACCGCTGGGCCGAGCTCACGCGCAAGATACAGCTCTGGGTCGAGATACACGAGCTCAACGATAACGGGGAGTACGCGCCCGTAGAGGTACCCATGCACTTTGTTGCACTTCATGCTAAACATGTGTTACGCAAGTAGGAAGATATAAATAGCATTAAAACAAATTTTTACCAAGCAAATTTTTTACAGATTTTGTTAAAAAAAAATTCGACACAAGTCGTGGCTCTTACTTTTATAACAATATAACTTGTCGCGTTTTGGTTTTGATTCTCTTATTTAAGCCTTGTTTTTGATATAGCATCCTTTGACAGTGGTAGAGCCACGCGGCAGCTGTCGCATGGATGGGCCGGCTCGAACCGGGGTGGTACCACGACCTCACAGAATACCAGTGTGTTTACCGATTGACCCCCTCCCCCCGAACATGGTAATGGAGTTAAATCCGTCGCTGAGCATCCACGCCCAAGTTACCTTACTCTTCTTGAGCGTGGGTGCTCAAGCTGCCCCGTGTAATTGGGGGAGGGGGGGGGTTAAATTCCGCTAAAGATGAAAGAGGCTCGGGAGAAGCGGAGCAAAAAGATAAAGGCAACAACTGCCACCCTATCCGTGATTTTCTGCAACATCAGGGGACTTCATTTAAACCTCAATGCAGTCCACTACCATTTGGAGATACCGGTATCTTCTCCGGCTGTTATTTCGTATCTCTCTAACCCGGGGTACAAATTAAAACACTTCTTTGTGCCTCGCGCTGCAGTTGGCGAATACGTCAGAAAGGACATCTGCTTTCGGCGCCTCGGCAGTCTTGAAGGTACGGACCTGTCCATCCTATGGCTGCGTGTAAACAGAGACTACCATCCCCGCGTCTACGGGTGCCTAAAGGTCCCACAGCGGTAATGCCGAATCAGACCGACTCATCGTCTATCACGTCCATATGGCTGCAGATTTCATGCTATAACAGGTCCCATCCGTAGAGATCTTGATGCTCGCTGATTTTAACGTCCCCCCATGCCGAGTAGCTTGGTTCCCGTTTAACCGATGCGGGTAGATATGTTTATAACTTTACCTTGGCATAATATGGTCTGACACAACTGGTTATTTCGCCTTCGCGGATCCCAGATGTAGAGGATCATGTACCTTCCTTGTTGGACTTTCTGCTAACTTCTCATTTGGACGGATATCAGGTCTCCGTCGATGCCCCTCTTGGCTCTTTGGATCATTGTCTGATGAGTGGCACCGTACTCCGTACGGTGTTTTATTTTTTTATAGACCGTACTCCGTACGGTGCCACTCATGCTCCCACTGAGGTTGCGTTCTGCAGGTTGCCGCAATGTTTGGCACTAAAGGTCAGCCGATTGGGCAGGATGTGGGCTTTTTTTTCATCCTACTTTTAGGGGCGGGTTTGCTGCCCCCCGAACGGGTTCCCGCCTTGTCGTGGCGGGGGCTTAGAAGCCGTGGCTTGGTCACCCACGGCGAAACAAAGAGGAACCCATATGGCTGGTCCGAGGTGGAGGGCCGGCCCGAGGTGGCCACTCCGAGTGGGCTTGGGAAGCCCACTTCGGATGTGTGTTGGTGGACTGCGGTGAGAGATGTGTCCTCCCCACCTACCGCTGCAGCCGAGGTGGAGTCGCGGAGGAAGAGGAGTGTTGGTATGGCGCTGCGCCACTCGCCCTATCCTCCGCGACTCAAACGGGGCCGCACCGTTGATGCGGTGGTGGTGGGGCTGCGGGGGGAGAGGAGTGTCGGTATTGCGAGGCGCCGCTCTCCCCACTCTCCGCAGCCGAATCTTGGTTGGCGGCGGAGCCATAGACCAGATCCGCCGCTGGGGTCGGGAAGGCTAGTACTTCTAAGTGCTTGTTTTTCTTGGCCCCATGGCCTTCTTGCATTGGACGCGGGGGCGTCCGTTGCGCAGATGTGATTAGAGGCCGAGAAGGAAGGCGCGCCATGTGTTCTGGGGCGCCTTACCTGTGAAGGAGAACGGGGAGGAGTATTCCGCTCCCGAGGAGGTGCTGCCATAGGGCGGCAGGCGCTGGTGGGGCTGCGGATGTGTGCGAAAGCGTTCCCGTGGCCCTACAAATAAGCGACAAAGGTGGAACACCATGGGGTTTTAGTCGGTGCGAGTCCGACATAACCCGTCCTTGCCCCCGCGAGGCGGGTATGCGTAGGCATTTCCCCATGTAAAACAAAAAGGGGCGGGTTTGCTTCTGGACGTAAGTCCCAACGTTGTTGCTGATTCTTTCGTTGATGTGGTACTTCAGGGAATGGAAGTATTTATTCCATCATCTGTGGTGCCTATCGAAGGCAGAACTGAGCCGTAGTTAGCTCACTCGTAGGTTATTCGTGCTCGTACTCGTAGGTCGTTAGGTCACAATGAAAAAAGTGACTTTCAACTAAATATTGTTATAATCTACATTGAATAAAAAAGTTTCTGTTTCTGTTTCCTGTAAAATTGCATCACGCCGTAAGCAGGAGTGCTACCAAGCCTAGGCTGACGCATCAACGTTTCGGGATGCAAACACTAGGGCTCTTAAAAATAAGTATAATTCCGCCTCCTGATCCTTTAAAAGTGTTATGCCAAGTGCAAAGTCAGAGTACATCGGCAAAAATGGCGAGAAATTAGTTTGCACATTTTGTTTTGAAATGTATTGTTTTTATTAGAAGCTATTTTTTTATTTTTTTATAGAAGAGGGGGCAAACGAGCATGCTGCTCACCTGATGTTAAGTAACTTCCGCTGCCCATGATCAACCGCAACATCAGGGGAATTGCGCGTTGCCGGCACTTTAAATAGGAGTAAGCTCTTTTCTTGAAGGTACCCAGGTCATATCGGTTCGTAAAAATCGCCGGTGGTAAACTATTCCACAGAGAGGTCGTACGCGGTAGAAAACTCTTTCTGAAACGTAACAGTGGTGAATCGCCAAGCATTCAGATGGTGTTGATGGTACCGGAACGTTTGCCGCGTAGTGCGTTCACGGAATTTGGCGGCTGGGATTAATCCGAACAATTCCTCAGAGCACTCCCCGTGATAGATGCGATAAAATACGCAAAGAGATGCTACATCTCTTCGCAACGCCAGTGAACCGAGCCGATCGGAAAGCACTCGGTCGTCGACGATTCGAGCCGCTCTGCTCTGGATGCGGTCAAGTGGAAGGAGCTGATACTGGGGAGCTCCAGCCCAGAGATGGGAACAGTAATCCATGTGCGGCCGAACCTGCGCCTTGTAAAGTTGCAGGCGGTGTGCCGGCATGAAATACTGTCCCGCTCTGCTGAGCACGCCAAGCTTTTTAGAGGCCAATTTGGCATTCTCGTCCAAGTGACAACGAAACTGCACGTCACTCGATATGTCGACGCCGAGGATTCCGATACTGGCTGAGGCAACAAGAGTGGTGCCTTGAAACTGAGGGGATACGACAAAGGGGTTCTTTTTAACGGTTAACGTGCAAACTTGTGTCTTCTGAGGGTTAAACTGGACTAGATTTAGTCGTCCCCAATCCGAGACTCTGTTCAGCAAAGACTCTACTTCAGACACAAGTTTGTCCCGGACTCTACGAACTCAGAGACGTTTTCCCGAGAAATATTGGCACGGCTGGTGTACAAAGCATCACCAGTGCTGTCATCTGCATAGCAATGAATGTTACGGCCTTGCAACATATCATTGATATGCAGAAGAAACAGCGTTGGCGATAGCACGCAGCCTTGTGGAACACCAGCATTAATAGGCTTGTAATCCGAGCTTGCACCGTCTACAAACGACTTTGATGCTCCGATCTGCAAGAAAGCTGGTGATCCAATTGCATAATTTCTCGGAGGCCCACAGGAAGGGAGCTTCGAAAGAAGTGCTTTGTACCAAACCCGATCGAAGGCCTTCGCAATGTCCAAACTAACGGCTAATGCTTCCCCCTTGGACTCTATTGCCTGCGCCCATCTATGAGTTAGGTAGACCAGAAGATCACCAGCTGATCAACCACGGCGAAAACCATATTGGCGATCAGTAATCAGCTGGTGATCCTCAAGGTCCTTTTTTAGGGATCGGGTGGACAAAAGCCGTCTGCCATGATTTTGGGACTACGCCTAGAGAGTAGGAGTACCGGAAAAGACGCGTTAAGACCGGTGCCAATTCTGGAGCACACGTCCTCAGCACAATTGGGGGATACCGTTAAGCCCACTCGACTTGTGCTGTGCTTGCGCTGTGTAAACCGCACCTCCGGCATGGAGCACTCACACCGTGGGATGGTCGGCGGCGTACTCCCCCCGTCATCTAGAGTCGAGTTGGACGTAAAGAAAGAGCCTAGCAGATCGGCTTTCTCCTTTGCGGTATGGGCCAGTGAGTCGTCCTCCCTGTGCAGAGATGGAAGAGATAGCTGACAGAAATTCCCCTGGACAGCCTTGGCGAGAGACCAGAATGCACGAATTCCAGAAGGAAGGCAAACTAGTTTCTCGCCAATTCTGCCTATGTGCTCTGACTTTGCCTTGTCAACGACTCTTTTGAAGGACCTGGAGGCGGAATTATACTTCTTTTTTAGAGCGCTGGTGTTTACATCCCGTGACGTTCATGCGTTAGCTCAGGCTTGGTAGCACTCCTGCTTATAGCATAATGCTATTTTACAGGAGCGACCAAACCATGGCTGAGATTTGCCTCCGATGGGCACCATAGAGCCGAAGTACCACATCAGCGACAGAATCCGCTACAACGTTGGAATCGTCAGGCGAGAAGCAAACCGCCCCCAAGAGTAGGACGCAAAGAAAGATTGCATCCTATCCCAATCGGCTGACCTATAGTGCCAAACACGGCGGCAGCCTGCTGAATGCAACTGCGATTTCAGCGTGAGTGGCACCACACTCCGGACAAGACAATGGTCCGAAGAGCCTAAAGGGGCGTCGACGGAAATCTGATATCCGTCCGGGTGAGAGGTCAGTAGAAGGTCCAACAGGGAAGGTGCATGATCCTCCACATCTGGAATCCGCGTAGGCAAAGTAACCAGTTGTGTCAGACCATATGCCAAGGCAAAATCATGAACAGATCTCCCCGAATGATCGTTTGTACGTGAACCAAGCCATTCGGCCTGATGGGCGTAAAATTCGCCGAGGATCACGATCTCTGCGGAGGGGATCTGCTGTAGCAACGAATCTGTAGCCATTTGGACGTGGTTGAAGAGTCGGTCTGTTTCCGCATTACCGCTATGGGACCTGGAGAGGCACCTGTAGACGTGCGGATGGTCGTCGCTCTCTACGCGTAGCCAAAGGATGGACAGGTCCGAACCTTCAAGACTGCCAAGGCGTCGAGAACAGATGTCCTCTCTGACGTATGCGCAAACTCCAGCCCGAGGTACAAAGGAGTGTTCCAGTTTGTACCCCGGGTAGGAGAGACACGAGACATCAGCCAGAGAGGACACCTGCATCTCGGTCAGAAAGAGCAGAGCAGGAATCGCCGTCTCGAGATGGTAGTGGACGGCGTTTAGGTTAGAGTGAAGTCCCCTGATATTGCAGAAATTCACGGATAGCGTGGCAGTGGTCGCCTTGGTCTTGTTGCTCCGTTTGCCCCGAGCAGTTGTAGTCTTGAGCGGAATTTCGCCCCCCCCCCCCTCCTGGGGTAGTTTGACATTTAAGCTTTCACTTCACGCCGGTATTCTTTGAGGTTGTGGTACCACCTCGGTTTGAGCCGGCCCATACGTGCGACAGCAAAGCTGTCGTGTGGCTGACTCTACCACTGTAAAACACTGTAAAAGTATATTATATATTATGATTTATGTTTAAAATAAAACAAATGTTCTTTTAATTGTAAGAAGCTATGAATATCGTTTACTGGTATTATCGTGTCATTTTCACAAAAGTTTTCATTTCGATAGTTAGTAAAAAGTACTCAATTGCTGAGCTTCAACTATTTCATTATCTTTGCACAGTGCGCGTGTGACTCGCTTGGGTCTGTCTTTATGTAGAATTTGTTGCTTTACATTTTGTTAAGAAATGTATTGTTTTTATTCAAAGTAAAAATATATTAAGATTTATGTTAAAAATTACGTGGCGGAGCCACGCTGCAGCTATATTATAGTTGTATCACGAATGGATTGACTCGGCCGGGGCAGGAGCACGCTCTCGCAGAATACTCGTGTAAAATAGCAGCGTAATGTTGCTGTGTTTCGTGTGGTGAGTGTAGAGAACTGGAGACCCTGTTTACTGGAATCGACACATTCCATCTTAGTACTCAGGGGTGACAACTCATTTGCATTTTGATGCTTAATTGAAGATAAATGTGGATATCTATGTGCCAAAGCATCCACTTATCATCAGGTGGAATGTGTGCTCGCTTGTCGCCCAGTGCTATAAAAAAATACTACTGCCGTACAGTAGGCATGCACACGTGCACGTGCGTATGTGGTCGCTGACGTGCGTGTTGCGTGTGCAGGTGACACAGCGCGCCGACATGGTGACGGGCGGCGTGTACCAGCTGCGGCAGGGCCAGCAGCGCCGCGTGGCCGTGCGCGTGCGCCCCGCGCACAACTCCGGCACGCTGCCCCTCATCTGCCAGCACATGGTCAGCCTCGAGCTGGGCTCCGTCCGCGTCAGGGACGTGTACCAGCTGCGGCAGGGCCAGCAGCGCCGCGTGGCCGTGCGCGTGCGCCCCGCGCACAACTCCGGCACGCTGCCCATCATCTGCCAGCACATTGTCAGCCTCGAGCTGGGCTTCGTCAGCGTCAGGTACGTGTACCAGCTGCGGCAGGGCCAGCAGCGCCGCGTGGCCGTGCGCGTGCGCCCCGCGCACAACTCCGGCACGCTGCCCATCATCTGCCAGCACATTGTCAGCCTCGAGCTGGGCTCCGTCAGTGTCAGGTACGTGTACCAGCTGCGGCAGGGCCAGCAGCGCCGCGTGGCCGTGCGCGTGCGCCCCGCGCACAACTCCGGCACGCTGCCCATCATCTGCCAGCACATTGTCAGCCTCGAGCTGGGCTTCGTCAGCGTCAGGTACGTGTACCAGCTGCGGCAGGGCCAGCAGCGCCGCGTGGCCGTGCGCGTGCGCCTCGCGCACAACTCCGGCACGCTGCCCATCATCTGCCAGCACATTGTCAGCCTCGAGCTGGGCTTCGTCAGCGTCAGGTACGTGTACCAACTGCGGCAGGGCCAGCAGCGCCGCGTGGCCGTGCGCGTGCGCCCCGCGCACAACTCCGGCACGCTGCCTATCATCTGCCAGCACATTGTCAGCCTCGAGCTGGGCTCCGTCAGCGTCAGGTACGTGTACCAGCTGCGGCAGGGCCAGCAGCGCCGCGTGGACGTGCGCGTGCGCCCCGCGCACAACTCCGGCACGCTGCCCATCATCTGCCAGCACATTGTCAGCCTCGAGCTGGGCTCCGTCAGCGTCAGGTACGTGTACCAGCTGCGGCAGGGCCTGTTGTGCCTCGTGGCCGTGCGCGTGCGCCCCGCGCACAACTCCGGCACGCTGCCCATCATCTGCCAGCACATTGTCAGCCTCGAGCTGGGCTCCGTAAGCGTCAGGTACGTGTACCAGCTGCGGCAGGGCCTGTTGCGCCGCGTGGCCGTGCGCGTGCGCCTCGCGCACAACACGCTGCTCACCATCTGCCAGCACATAGTCAACCTCGAGCTGGGCTCCGTCAGTGTCAGGTACGTGTACCAGCTGCGGCAGGACCAGCAGCGCCACGTGGCCGTGCGCGTGCGCCCCGCGCACATCTCCGGCACGCTGCCCGTCATCTCCCAGCAGATCGTCAGCCTCAAGCTGGGCTCCTTCAGCGTTAGGTAAAACGCGCTTCACTTTCTAGGTCGGACCTCTTCACTTCTGTCTTGGAGCTACCTCGCCATTTTCTATTAATATCAGCAATAAAGTCACTATCTTGCAATCTCAAAGATAAATAAGTCCATTCATTAAAGCTGTAATAAAAACCCCCTCTTTAAAAAACATAATTGAAAAGAGAAAAATACAAATAAACATAACTATAGTTCGGCCGTTTAGAGAATGCGTTCCTGACACCTATCAGTTAGTCACGACTAGTGATGGGCACAACATAACACTGAGTTCGTTACCGTTCCTCCAAAAAATTATTTAAGATTATTTTCGTTTTAAATTGGCGGAATCATTTAAAATTTATATTTTAGTAATTTAAGTGGAAACCAAAAAAAGGTAATATTAATATAATAAAATTGTTTTATTTATTCTTTGTTACAAAGCTACAATCTGTATTTCTATGCAATAAAGTACATTGAATTGAATGTGCGTACAGAATATTAATCAGACTCCGATTCGCTTGAGGAGGTGGTGTCTTCATCATCATCTTCGCCTACATGTATAATTATATTATTATCAATAACAGAATCAATCCTGATATATCGGTCAAAATGTTCCACAATCAGGTTTTTAGTCTTTTCAACAACCTTTGCCCAGTCATCTCTTGTGACTTCCCCGCAGGCTTCTTTTAATTGGGTCATCATCTTTTTCGTGCTGAATGGCGGGGAAGTATTGTGGCGGGCGGCGTAACCTTTTATTTGAGCCCAGATCGATAACCGTACTCCAGAGCCAGTTCGTCGATTTCGTATCGCACATTTGCCGCTTTATTTTCTTTTACTAATTTAATTAGCTCTGGTTTTAGCATCTGCATATTTGCGTCAATGCCTTTTGCTTGTAACCAAGCCACCATTTCTTCTTTTTTATTAGCTTGGGTAGGTGGTTTCTGTATTTGAACCGAGTGATAGGAGGCATTATCCATGAATATTACAGAAGGCTACCGCTGGGCAAAAGCACGTTCTGGAACCACTCTTTAAACGTAGTGGCATTCATTTCCTCGTGGTAGTCATTTGATAAGATAAGATAAGATAAGATAAGATGCTTTATTTGTCAGAATATGGTACATTACTGTTGTTACAAAAGAATTTTGATCCTAAATATTCTGCCGTTTCCGGCGTACAAATATTTTCAGATAGATAATTTTTCTAATAAAGTAGAAAACTAAGACACTAATTATTATATAGTATAAAGATACTTGCCGCAATATTTATGGAAACCAAATCTATATAAAACAATCATCAATTAATTCACAATACTTTAGTTAAAACATTTCAAAAAATTAAATTCAGCAATTCAATAAACACTATTCGAGTCAAATTTATCTTTTAAGAAGTCATTTACTGAGTAATAACACTTATTTAAAAGAAATTGAAACAATTTACTTTTAAAGATTCCTATTTTCATCTCTTTGAAACAAACAGGCAATTTGTTGTAAACATATATTGCCATACAATATACATTTTTTGAGTAGAGTTGTATTCTTTGCTTTGGTACACACAATTTATGTATATTTCTACTAGTCCTAATTACAACATCATTGTGTTTTTCAAATAAATTACTATTTTTGTGAACAAAGATACAGATTTCGTAAATGTATAATGCTGGAAGCGGCAATATTTTATGTTTGCGAAAAAGAGGAATACAACTATCTAATTGGTGTGCTCCGCATAAAGACCGTACACATTTTTTCTGTCCACGAAAAGCTCTAATTAAATCAACAGAATTACCCCATATTATTAAGCCGTAACGTAGGATCGAAGAAACATATCCATGATAGGCAAAGAGTGCAGCCTCCATATTAGCCACTCGTCTTAACCGATATAAAACAAAGACAAATTTATCTAACTTTTTACATAGGCTATCAATATGTGTCTTCCAATTACAGAACTTGTCTATTGTTACACCTAAAAAGTTAGTATGGTTAACTTCTTCGATTATGTTTTTCCCATATTCTATTTTAAGTGGTTCTTGTTTACTATTATATGTCTGAAATCTTATCATCTTAGTTTTTTCGATGTTAATTTGTAAATTATTATGTCTTAACCAATCTATTATTGTTTCTAAGGTCCTATTTATTTCATGTTCGTAGTCAAAATATTTATTATTATTTTCAATATTAATGGTAATGTCATCAGCATATAGCACACATTTATGAGTAGTTACGTTACAAAGATCGTTGATATATATTATAAATAATAAAGGACCCAGTATACTTCCTTGTGGCACTCCGCATTTATTTTCGAAATACTGTGATCTATAGTTTTTTCTATTGCGTCCTGAGTAACTTGATACCTCAACGCATTGCCTTCGCTGACTTAAATAATCTTGTATTAATTTTAATGCATTGCCTCTTACACCATATCTGCTAAGTTTGTGTAACAATAATTCGTGGTCAACGAAGTCAAATGCCTTGGACATATCAATGAAAATGGATGTTATAGGTGTTTTGTTGTTTAGGCTAGTTGTTATTAGTTTTATTAAGTTGAAACATGCTAAAGTGGTTGACTTTTTTTTTGTAAACCCATATTGCTCTGGTTTTAATATTTCATGTTTGTTAAAGAAGTTATAGATTCTGGTATGTATGGCCTTTTCAAACACTTTTGATAGAACAGATATCAGTGTTATGGGCCTATAATTGTTTATGTCAGTTTTATCGCCTTTCTTGTGTAGTGGTTTAACGACAGAAAATTTTAGTCTAGTTGGGAAAATGCCTTGAACAAAAGATAAATTGATAATGTAAGTTAGTGGACAAGACAAATATTTGGAGCATTGTTTTAAGATTTTAGTACTAATATCATCATAACCTGTAGAATTTGTATTTTTTAAAGAATTAATAATTTTTATAATGTCAGTGTTATGTATTGGAACTAGATATATAGAATTGGGATAAAATGTCAATTTAGACGCATAGTCGTTATTGGTTATTATTTTATTTGGTGTTTTAATGTAATTATTTAAATTTATAAAGTAATTGTTAAACACTTCCGCTATTTTATCTGGGTGATAATATGTTTTGCCATTAAAGGTTATTGTAGTAATGTCATTCATAACTGACATATCACTATTAACGTTTTTTATTATTCGCCAAGCTGCCTTACTTTTGTTGTTAGAATTAAGTAGGTAGCGTGTATTGTCCAGTTTTTGGGCTTGCATAATGCATTTTCTTAAAATGTTTGTATATTTGTAATATATATTCCAATTTCTCTTTTTGTTTGCTGTCGAAAGACGATATTTCAAATACAAACGTCTTTTATTAATGCTACATTTTTTAATACCCCGTGTAATCCACTTACTTTTAATAGATTTAATTGTTATTTTTACGATAATTTTAGGGAAACACAAATTATAAAACAGGGTAAGAGTGTCATGAAAGCAGTTGAAAGCCAAATTAGTATCTTCAGTCTCATATACATCAGAAAATGATAGGGTCGAAATATAGGACAGAAATTTTTTCACGTTTTCACTACTAATGTCTCTTTTTTCCTCAAACCAAAACGATTTCCTAATATGAATTTTATTTGTGTTTGCCTGAAAAGTTATTGTTTGACAAGTTTCATGATCTGATAGTGCTAAAAAGTGAATATTTGGTTGTACATTAGGAAGATTACTGGCAATCAAATCAATACACGACATTTTTCTAGTTGGTTTACAAATGTGATTATTTAAGTTATGACTGTATAAAATAGAATAAAGTTCTTTAGAATGAATATCATTTTTCAAAATATCTATGTTCCAATCTCCACAAACTATAACTCTTTTATTATTTTTTTTAGTAAGTTTATTTAAAAGTTGTTCAAACTTTTCAAAAAATAATTTTATATTAGAATTTGGAATCCGATATATACATACAACGCAAATACCTAGTGTAACTATCTCAATAGCACAGAATTCAAATGTATAAATAACCGAGTTGGGTAGGTTTTTTATGGGTTGATAATCTAATTCCTTCCTAACTAGTATGCAGGTGCCACCTCTACGTTGATTCGGTCTCGAAAAGGCCGATGCTAATTTGTAGTTATTAAGCCTTAAATTAGACTCAGTACCCTGTTTCATAAAAGTTTCACTAATGCATATTATATCAATACTAATATTTTTATTTTCAAAATCAAGAAGTGCAAGTTCTAACAAGTCTTTTTTATGTAAAATCCCAGCGATGTTTTGGTGTAGCAAGGTATATTTTTTTTCACTATCGAAAAAAGATTGAATCATTACAATTATTCATTAAATTTTGTTTAGACTCTACTTTACTTTTCTCTTTCTGTTTGTAGAAATAATATGGGATAGTTCCTTTTATTTTGCTTAGATCTTTTAAGTTCATTTTATTTACTCTACTGCTACCGTGTGTTATACCAGCACACCTTGATTTTAGTAACGATCGAACAAGTCTTTCGTAATTAAAATTATCTATTTCTATATTTAATTTAGAACACAAGAAATGTTTCGGTATCCAATGCGTGTTAATATTCGAATTATTACATATGTCAACAAAATAACAGTTTGAAAAATTCTGAACAAATAACTTAATTTCTCTATTCAACAATTTGACATTTAAAAATTCATTATTAAATACGTTCAATACAAAGACGTTGTTATTCTTTAACTTGCAAAGTGTAGAACAAAGTTCAATCAGAAATGTGTACGGATTTTTCTCATTACTTCCTACTCCTAAAATAACAATGTCATCCGTATTCAGAGTCTCCAATATATTATCAATACTATCAAATATTTGCGCGCTGGTTGCATTTGGTTTGCATTTTCCGGAAACAGAGTAAACATTATTCCATTTGTTTTTACATCTCTGCTTATACATTACTTGAGCGAGTCCTCGCACTTGCTGATCTCCTAAGATTATGATTTTTGGTGTTGACGAAATATTTTTAATTTTTTTATAGTAATTTTTTTCTATTTTTGCATGTACATGGTCTGAAGTCTCTTTATCTTTGGGTTCATTTTCAATTCTGTATTCATGTGTTATACCCGTATTAGTAGGATTTATATATGTAAGTTTTTTGCAAATAATTTCAGAAGCGTTCAGTGGTGATATTCTAGGCGACTTAGTTTGCAAATAAATCATTTTTTTTGCTTAATGGAATAGGTGTTCGCTTTGCAATGGGTGTGCAAGTAATCTTATCATCACCTATGAGGTTTTTTAAGCAGTGTATAGTTCTGTCTTTCTCTTGTAATTTTAAATTCAATAATTGAATCTGCGAATTTAGTTCTGCAATTTCATTGTGCGCTGATTCTAGTTCCGTTTTTACTGAGGACAATTGTAGGCTTAACTCATCGACAGTTGATTTATTACGGCGTGGATTAAGTGGTCACTGTGACCAGTTGTATCAAACAGAGTGTAATTTGTTAACGACTGACTCATTTGGAAGTTCTCAGGATCGTCAGAGAAAGTTCTCTTTCTTCTTCTCATTGTAATGTTTTCCATAATTTTATTCGATTTTAATAAATGTTAATTACCTAATAACCTTATAATGCAAAATAAATATTAAATAAATATCAAATTAAAAAACAAATAAAAATTAAAATAAATAACAGAAGTAATGTTCAAAATTATACAAAGTACAAACAAAACAATATAAGGTAAATTAAATAAATTAAGACTAAAATATAATTTTTAAATTACTACGACATTAAACAATTACTAAAATCTAAGTCTAATAAAAAAAAGTTATAAACTAATTAGGCTGGTTTAGAACTCAGATTTCTTGAATTCGTTCGATAACCATATTAGTTACAATCCATTACACCAAGCTAGTACATTATATTGCAGTCAAAATAACGTTCTAGTTATCAAAACTTTCGTTATACGTGGAAATAATGAGTGTATTTGAATTTTAGTAACACCGTCTTTACAATATTATTACAATTATCACAACAATCACTATACACAAATTTTCCAATTTTAAATTTTGTTTTCACTCACAGTTTTAGAAAATGTCAATAAAGTTAATTAATATTTGTGGTTTTTGATTGAAATGCCAGTAACGCGTTCTCCACAAAGCCGTATTTTGCAGAACCTGCGTGGCATATTATCAGACGGGCCCCCTACCCATTGGTACTTTCGACGTCAAAGCTTATGTATCATCCGTCCAAGAACGGGAAACCGTGTGATTGGCGTTTAGCCATGTCTCGTCAATGAACACGACATTATCCCAGTTATCAATATTTTTTGCTTCTCTCAAAAAACTTATCCGTTTTAAAATTATGTCGTATCGTTCTAATAAAATTTTTCTTTTGTCTGTTTTTTTATACGAAAAGCCAATATCTTTTAAGATTTTGGTTAAAGCAGTTTTACCCCCGCTAAACAGTCCAGCTTCTCTTAACGATGCCAAAAGCTTCTTCCTGTTGAGATATTCATTTCTGGAATAGTAACCATATATATGATTTCTGATTGCATCGGCGTCAAAGGTGTCAATATCTGTCACGGGTTTAGTTCTAAGTTTCTTCTTCGGAGTACGTAAAATATTATCTTCCGTGCCAGAAGAGCCGAACTTTTCTTTATTAATATTTGTTATCGTTCGTTTGCTAAATCCAAGCGCCTGAGAGACGCGCGCAAGTACAAGAACTTGTTCGACAGGTAACAAGGGTCCACCATTTTGCCGCTCTCGCTTAAAGTAATCTTGCAGCTTGCAGATTAACTCACGGGCTCCACTTTTCAATATTTGTCCACGTTTAGGAATTATTATGCACCAAAAGTAAAAAAAACGCAATACAAAACACAATCGAAGTCCGATTTAGCGCCGATGTCAGTTTGAAAAGCAGAAACAGTCCATTAAACGAAAGCCGGGTAATCAAATAAAAATAGATCGAAAACACTTGAAGAACGTGGTCTATGCGCACAAAACGACAACAGACGACTGTTTTAGCGTCACAAAATAGCGGCCTATAACGCCATTTGGGGTTACCATTTTCAACCTAAATATAAAAATGCTACTTTCTTTCGCGCGTTCGGTTTGGTCGTAGTTTTATTTTTATATTTAATAAAAGTTATCTTATAGTCCGTTATTTTCAAATTCTTAAAAAGAAAAACAAAACGTATTATTTTATAAAGTATAACTGTATAAGAACAGATTACGAAACTGTTATTGCCTGTTATTGTTAGCACAGCACTACAAATATAAAGCGCTGGCAATAACCTTGTAATAGCGCAGTATAGATTTAGAAAAATATTGTTTACTAAGTTATTTGACACTCAGTTTGGCACAAAATTAGAACATTCATTGATTATTGATATAATAATGTTGTTTTAATGGTCATCAATTGTTAAAACGGTAAACAACCAGCAAAAATATTTTTATCGTAACTGCAACGCTATTACAAAGTTACGTCGTCAGTTCAATCGCGACGTGTCAGGAACGCATTCTCTAACGCCGACTACCCATAGTTAAAACCAAATTAGGCAACAAAATAAACATACTTATACACTTACATGCATTCATTCACTGGAAAAACATTACCCTTTTTCTAAGGCATTAAATATAAATATTTAATATTTACCATTTTACCCAACCGATTTTACCGTTGTGAGGAATTTTATCCTATTTCTTAATATTAGAAATAACAAACACCTGTAATTTTCTGTCTTTTGCTTGCTTAATTTACTTAATCGCCTTAAGAAGTGGAAAATTTTGATGGTATATCTTTTACACACTGAGGCTATTAATTTTTAAATATTTCAAAAAATCGGTCATTAATACAATTATTAAATTTATTTATAGATCGAGGCTTCAAAAGCCTTTGGACTCTTATCAAGAAGAAGACCTGGCCGTGCTACGCGAAAGGTGGAGCGAAGCACTCGCACGCCGACGACAGCATTTGCACGCTCAATTACAGGTAAATTTCGACGTACCATTGTCTTTAGAAAATTATTAACTTTGCCTTTTAAATTGATTCTTTGAGATGGGATAGTCTCCTTGATTATAAATTATCTATATAATTGTATTTTTCTATTTATTTATTATAATATCTCTATTTTTTCCTTTTATTAGAAATTGGTCAACATGTCTCCATCGATGAAGACAGAACGTGATGTGGAAAGGGAGCAGTCACTTGTGGAACAGTGGGTTTCACTCACAGAAGAAAGAAACGCGGTGAGTGTTTCTCTTTATAACTGAAGTAAAATGCTAGGAAGGATAAATTATTGATATATTCTGAAATTTGTTTGTTAATATTTATTTTGTAGGTGCTGGTGCCCAGTCCTGGCAGTCCAATACCAGGGGCTCCAGCCGCTTGGAACCCTCCTCCTGGCATGGAGCAACACATTCCTGTTCTATTTCTGGATTTAAATGGTATTGGTATTTTGAATATGCTATTTTTATTAAACATTGCAATTTATGAACATAAAATCCTAATTATGTCGAATTTTTAGCGTAATATATTTTCGTGTTTTACAAATGCAGTTAAATGCAGGTGAAATGTAAAATCCTAACAAATAACTGATATTCCTTTGCGGAAATTAATTAAATGAAAGATATTGTAAAGCCGATCATTTACATTACTTTAAGATTTTGTTCTGTTTCGTGGAATCATCTTACATAATATACATATAAATTGTATGGAACTTACTTGTATGAATAGCGGCACGAAAGTCTAGCGGTGACCGTTATTGCGCATAAATCTAAAATAAAGTACCATGGGGAAGTAAGCGGGTCGCGGGGTGGGCGTGCGTATCGTTCTTACGCGCTGATTGGCTGTGCGTAAATTTCGTACGCGCTGATGGCTTTCCAGTCGCATTGCGTCCCCCATACTGATACGACCTGCGCAGCTATTCCTTCCACGCTTAATTCAGCCCTAGACTTACGGGGCGCGATTGCTGTGGCTGTAAAAACACTGGCTGCGTGCGGAATTCGAACTCGTTTTATTTAGTTAAAATTCCGCACATATTTACAAATATATGCTTAAACTCAAAAGCAACGCCTGGCTACTGACAAAGGTTATTCACTCAATCTAGCATCAGTTCAGACCATGACCTTGATTGCGAACTGATGATAGTCTGATAGAGCAATGCAAGGCATTGCACGGTTAATCAAGACTGGCGATTCATGCATCGGCCTGAGCACAAACATCTTTGTGACAAAACGCGCTATGGGATATCCTAAACAAAAAAAAAATATGTTGCTGACTATTACTTTAAAATACTTTAAATCTGTCAGTTTGATCCATCAGTTCGTGTAATAGTGTTATAAGAATATTCTCTACCTGTATCCGTGGATATCGTAAGGGGCGATAGAGGAGAATGGAGAAGATGAATAGGAGATGGGCAGCAGCATCTTACTCAAAATAATTAAAAATGCGTTTGCCAATCCTATGAGACAATGTACGGGGAAGGCCTCTAATCTTCCACAGCTTTATCTGCCACCAAGGTGGCGCCACTTTGGAATGAGGTGAAATGCTTGACAGACTTTAAAACGTGGAAGAGAAATTTTACTACGAACTGGGAATGATGAGGAGATTATGTGATTTTAGGTGCAAACGATCTAAGATAAAAGAAGACAAAAATCAAAGACATATCTGTTGCAAGTCATAGTCAAAATCACTTTCTAAATATTCAAGACCTGACATTGTATCCCTAAACGAAATGGTCCTTGCACCAGAGTCGTCACTACTGCTGCTACGTTTTTTTTAAATGTGAAAAAATAAAAAATAGTGACGTAATGTGTTTCCGACAGCGGACGACCTGAGCACGCACCCGTCGGGCGAGGAGGTGACGGTGGCGGGGCTGCACTCCATCCTGCCCAAGGAGCATGGCAACAAGTTCTACGAGCTGCACATCCTGCACCACCACGACAAGGACGTGGCTGCCGTCGCCTCCTGGGACTCCTCCATACACGACTCGCACTACCTCAACCGGGTCACCGAGCGTGAGTACCATGGCAGACATTTCTTTTGGACCGTTCTTCAATCTTCTATTTTATCAGCTCTTCAAGTTCACTGCTGGACCAGGACATCGTCAAGCTTAGCAGTCTTAATAACGATTTCAGTACCAGACGTCTCACCACTTACGTTGCTTGCCGTCGCCAAATTGAGTATTTTATGTTTGACGTAAACAACATAAGGGTATTTCGTCATCTATCGAAAGTCTTAAGGTTTTTTCTGGTGATTAATCACGCTGAGGTCGTGCACTTTTGATGTTCTTAAATAGCTTAATGTTGTAAGTTGACTGCCTCGTTAGTCTAGTGGTTGTAGTGGTGCGACTGCTGATCATGAGGTTCGAATCCCGGGTCGGGCCAAAAAATCAATTATTGGGTTTTCCGTCAAGAAATTCTCAGTAACTGCCTGGAGTCAGGAAGTTAGTGGTGTCTTACACCCGTGCCTCGGAAAGCACGTAAAGCCGTTGGTGCTGCGCCTGATCTCTCTCCGGTCGTGTCGGTTTACCGTCCCATCGGACTATGAGAGTGAGGGAATAGAGAGTGCACCTGTGCTTGCACTTGGGCACTATAATCCTGTCCTGCGCCGATGGCTGGCCTCCGTTGATGCAGGCCACCGTGGCCGAAATTCGGTCTGGAGGACTGTCGTAAGAAGCGACAAAGGTAAACTGCACCGCGCTGCCCCAATCAGTGTTAGCAGACCTCGCCTCTTCAAAATATTTTTTTGTTAATTTCTCAGGTTTTCACGTAATATTTTTTTTTCACCGCATAGCTACCACGGTTTTATAATTGTCAGATAAAAATATATTAATATTCTAATTCCATTTCAGCAAACGAACGCGTGTACCTGATACTTAAGACAACAGTGAGACTGTCGCACCCCGCACCAATGGATCTCATACTCAGGAAACGATTAGCGCTAAACATTTACAAACGTCAGAGTCTTACTGAAAGGATACGCAAGAGAATTGTCCGGTAAGTGGTTATTGTCGCTTGATAGCTAAGAACAGGTATATCCATCGATCACGATGTGGCTAGGCGCATCATCATCTGCCTAATTTTGTAATTGCCCTCAATACACGATTACGCAGACTTGTGATAGTTATATTTTAATCTAAACTGATCGTCCCCTTTATTCTCCGCAAATATTAAAAGTAGGAAGCTATGAATATGTTCCAACGCGATAATATTTACTTTTACGGATTTCATTTGTGTTTAATTTAACTTATTTAATCCGCTTATTTAATAGCAACTCTTTACCTTAATTGACACTATCACTGTCCGATTTGCAGACACAATAATAAGACAATAACAATGACCCATATGTGGGCTACGGGACAGTGAGTGTCAATAGCGAAATTAGTTTTATTAACTTCGCGAAGCTACGCGAGCGATACTTTCTTTCATATCTGTTAACTCGCTCAGACCATGATTTTGCTAGTATGTTGAATAAACGATCTTGATCCACCGTAATACACGTTTTCTTAGGATGGAGTTCGGTGGACGAAAAAACTTTTGATATGAAATTTTAATGTTATATTATGATTTATTTTGATATATTTTTTATTATTTAAGAATGCTAAAGTGAACATAATGATTTCTTATATTTACGCGAACACTACACATTGATTAAAACTACTTTTACGGATTTTATCGCGTTTATTTTTACTTTTTATTTACTTTTATTTTTAATTCCCGACGTTTCGGGCGCTTTTCAGCACCCATGGTCACGGGGGACTGAGATGACTGACGTCCCGATGTCATTGTTAAACCCGGAGTACCTTCAGCTTTTTTTTAATTATTATTTATGGTCCGATCTATGCAAAATGAACTGACTATGTCCTGAGGTCTTGCAGTGGTATGCTTGGGTTTAGTTTTAATTTTATTGATTATAGGATCCCAAACAGGTGGTAGTACCCAGCCTCCTTCTCTATTGAAATTAGGAGTTTTTTAATTTCAATAGCCTCACGTATGGTAGGAATCGGAGTTCTTTCGCGAGGATTTGTGGCCTATCAAATCTGATGTAATGGTTGGGGCCGTCTAGGATATGATCGCAAACTGCGGACTTCCCGACACGTTGATGCTTCACATCAGCTATGTGTTCTTTTACGCGGGTTCTAATTGATCTTTTTGTTTGTCCTATATAAGAGAGACCACATTCACAATCAAGCTTGTACACTCCTGCATCTTGTAGAGGAATATGACACTTCACTGATGGTAGGAACTGACTAATCTTCTTCGGCGGCTTGTAGAATGTTCTAATAGAAGCTCGCTTCAAGATGTAGCCAATCTCTGTCTGTGACACCTCTAACATATGGTAGTACAGCAGGCACACGCTCGACTGTGGCAGGCTTCACTCGGTCACTGTGACGTAGGCGCGGGACCCGAAGCTTGTTGTCGTGCAGAACTTGCTTGACGTGCTGAAGCTCGGCGGCCAGGTGTTTGTTGTCACAGATCCCTCGTGCTCTCTGTAACAAAGATTTGCCCACGGTAGCTAACTGTGAAGGATGGTGGTGAGATTCACCGTTTAAATATCGGTTTGTATGGGTCTTTTTCCTATACACAGTGTGACCAATGGTGTTGTTAGGATTTCGGATGACTAACACATCTAGGAAAGGTACGTGAGGCTATTGAAATTAAAAAACATCCTAATTTCAATAGAGAAGGAGGCTGGGTACTACCACCTGCTTGGGATCCTATAATCAATAAAATTAAAACTAAACCCAAGCATACCACTGCAAGACCTCAGGACATAGTCAGTTCATTTTGCATAGATCGGACCATAAACAATAATTAAAAAAAAGCTGAAGGTACTCCGGGTTTAACAATGACATTGGGACGTCAGTCATCTCAGTCCCCCGTGACCATGGGTGCTCGAAAGTGCCCGAAACGTCGGGAATTAAAAATAATAGTAAAATAAACGCGATAAAATCAGTAAAAGTAGTTTTAATCAAATGCTAAAGTGCTGAAATAAGTATACATAAATGTTTTAATTCATCAAAATCAAAAACTGTGGTCATAGTTTAGTCTTTTATGCACACAATAGCAACGTCTATACTGCAATCGACGCACACAACGACAGTATCGATCCGACGTTGCGCGCGAAATTAATTGACGTACCTACATCCGTCCTCGATATGCGCTCGCGCGATACTAAGCTCGGATCGGCGTCGCAGTGAAATGTATAGTACTTTTATTAAATTATTTAAAAAATAATAGTAGCGATTTAAAAAGTAAAAATAATACGTTTACGAAAATGTTGAAGATTATTTTGGTATCAATATTAAGTGAAAGTGATGTAAAACTTCTTAGATTTGGGACTTGTTTCGAAGCCTTTTCGGTCGATAACTGAATTAGGTGCACCTTTTCTACTTAACGATATAGGCATCTAATGAAAATGTATTCTATTACTATAAAAGTGTAGGATATTTGCAGGATGAAAAAATATTTAATTGTCTATATTTAATAGAATCTACAAATTAGAGCTCCCAAACATGCATCGGGATGCTGATTATTACTAAATAAATAAACAAACAAGTTATCTAAAATTCGCATTATTGTTATTTAAGTAGAGAAAACGAACTACTTTGAACAAGTATTTGTTATTTTAAGTAACAAAATAAAAACATGCAATTTTAGCGAAGAGTCCTTGCAATTTTGCGTTTTTTTTTTTGTAATAAGTCCTCTTAAAGAACCTGAAACAAAGAGTTATCTAATATTGTCCGTTTATATTTTATTTCCCGATTTCTATTACTGGTAAATTCTTCCGATGGTAAACTTTTTATAGATAGTATTGTCTCTGCGCGTTCTATCTTGGCTGGGCTACATGTAGTCTCAAATGGTTGTGCAGTTAAAGTTTTTTGGAACAAAATGGTGACAAGAAGCGGGGAGGGTTACTAAAATTAAAGATACGAATACACATATTGCACGGTTACAATTATGTAATTACTCGATTATAGTTATTATCGATTACGATTTGATTATATTTTATATTTTTATGGCTCAAAGGCGTGTTAATGCATCACGGTGTTTTAAATACAGTGAATATGATGATATGCATTAACAATTTGATAGAAAATTTTAAAATTTATAGTTATGTTGGGGTTTTCTGAAAGAATTTCTTGTTTACTATAATATCGTGTGTTTACTATTAGATATTATTGTTTTATTGAACTATATAAAGATGTTTTAATTACAATAATAATTTTTAATTTATTCTATAACCGGTATAGACATAACAAACTGTTTCAATAAGCAATCTTGGGAGCATATATGAAGTGGAACATCTCTATCGACTAGCGTCTGTATATGCGTGAACGTTTTGGAAAGCTAACTTTAGCCCGGCAAAGATAGAATGCGCCGACTTTAAACTTTTCCTTTAAATTTTAATTATATTTAAATTTTATTATAATGTTTTTGATGTTTTGTTCTCAGAACGGATCAGCTAACGCAAACGGGTGTGACATATGAAGTGGTGTCGAACATTCCCAAAGCGTCCGAGGAGTTGGAGGAGCGCGAAAGCCTGGCGCAGATAGCTGCCACCGGAGAGGAAGCCAGCGCTGCTGATGGGGAGACGTACATCGGTTTGTGTTTTTCTTCTACTAACTTAACTTACTTTTTAAGTTTTTGAGTGAAAACTATTTGCTGAAAAATGAAGTGTGGGACATCCTCCACTACATTGAGTGATCTGGAGAGAGAGAAGAGGTGCAGGTGGACAGGATCGTGCTTAGTAGCGTTCCTTGAGAAATGCTTGTTCAGAAGTAGACTTGTGCTAAGCTGTAATAATTATGATGATGATGAACTTCACTTACTAACTTACTTTTATAACGAGCTCGTAAACGATTATACAGAGGCCTCCTCAAAATATACATACGTGGTAGAGTCACGCTGCGTCTATAGCTCGAATGAAGCGGCTCGGGTAGACTGCGCTCTCACAGAATATCAGCATGAAAAGCAACATAATGCTGCATTGTTTCGTATGGTGAGTGTAGAGGTCCAGAAACTTTTTTTTTACTGGAAACTAGGCATTCTATGTTAGTCCTCAGAGGTGACAATGCATCTGCTTTTTGATTCTTATTTAAAGAAATGTAAATCTCTCTCGACATTAACTCTTACCATCAGGAGTGCTCGTCTGTCACTCTTACGCTACAGCCATAATATAACTGCAGCATGACTCTTATCACGTATGTACATATGTGAAGTCCGTCAACACACACTGGTTAAACTACTAAATAATAAAAGGAGGCCTGTGTCCCAGAGTAGGATATACGTTTATAGGAAAACGAATAATTTGTAAAAAGAAAGAAAAAATATAAGTTTTTCGATCTAGTTGTTTTGTAAGTGTTTCTTTGAGTCTCTAGTTCACTGTATCCTAATTTTTTATCGATGTTATTGTAAAGGCGTTACGTCAGGTTCAAGTTAATAAAAAATATAAAACTTAAAGGAAAGCTTATTTTAAGGTGTTTTAGTTGGTGTAAGTCCGATATAACTTGTGCTTGCCCGCGAGAGACGTGTATGTCTCCTGTAGTTAACAGCCAACCGCAATGTAGCCAACTCTTTAAGTCGGAAAAAAAAGCGACGTGAAGATTGAACAACAATTCGTTGATAAATAATTATATATTATTTCTTTCTTTTCCATAGAAAAATACACACGAGGCGTGAGCGCTGTAGAAAGTATACTGTCATTAGATCGGCTTCGACAAAGCGTCGCTGTAAAGGAATTGGAACAAGCTCGCGGCCAGCCGGTCACCATGAGGAAGACCGCTTCAGTTCCCAACTTCTCACAGGTACACTTACCCATATGCTCATTAAGCATTAATAGTTATATTTTATAACCGTGCGATCTATAATTAAAAAAGGTTGTCATTCGACATTATTAGAGTTTTGATTTGAATAAATATTCATTTTCACTTTTTATTTTATTTTATTTTTTAAATTTTTAAAGTATATAATTTTAGTAACCAACTTAAGGGTATATCAAAATTATTTTATCATTTATGATATTTTAAATAACTTCGATTTTTGTAGTAATTTTCAGTATAAATATTACGCATCGTTTTATTTTGATTTTTTTAGATTGCTGTGTTTTCTGTTTTGCTTTTTATGATATACCCTTTTGTTTTGCACACGTTTATAATTTAATAAGTTATTAAAATCAAACACAAATCACAGCTTACGTTTTGAATTAAGAAAAATAAAAACGAGAAATTCCATTAAATAAAGCTATGTTGGTTGATGAAGTGCGACCAAATAAAAAAGACACCTCAGCAGATGTCACAGTCCCATTCGAGCAGTGTTTCGGCTATTTCAGTTAGTTCGCCGTACATTCCCTTGGCTCCTGGGAGACACAAGTCCCGAGTTCGAGCCGCCGGACGATGCGTGTCGCGTTAGTAATGACATCTGCGGAGGCGATGTAAGTTGAAAACTTTTATGTATCTTCATCGATCAATGTGGCACACGCTGTTATGTAACACCGCAGTTGAGATTTAAATGCAATATAATGTTACCTAACCGCCGCTTATTTATTGCAGTTTATTGTGCTGTAACAAGTGGGGCTTTCAGTTTGTAATAATATGATTCTCGACTTAAATTGATGTTAGCTTTTTAGAATTTCGAAATTGTCCAATTTGTGTGTGAAATGATGTTACGAATATAACATATAAGCTGCTTGGAATATTTGGCTTCACAACACCGCTGATTTTACTATGACAATTTTTTTAACATTTCTTTGTATATAACGCTAACAAGCTACTTGTGTCACTAACAAATTGTTTTTGTTGTGTTGTTTGGTCTCTTTTGTAGCAATCTAATTCCAATATTGTATGTTTATCTGTCGGCCTAAATTATAATCGTTGATTATCACTTACTTAAATCAAGTATCAATTATTTCTATACCTGTCTCATTCTACTGTCATTTAGTAAAGGGAGAAAGGGGGAGGGAGAGCAACTTTAATTATTGCTGAAATTGACGTCGATTTTTAGGAGTAAGGCGGTACAAGTTTAACGTCAATATCAATATATCACACCTGTTAATATGAATGTAATATTAAACATGAATATATTATATATATATATATATATATATATATATATATATATATATATATATATATATATATATATATATATATTTAAAAGATTTGTATCAAAATCTGTCTATTAAATCGATAAATTTTGCGTTATAATTAAAACGATATAAGTAAACTTTTTCTATTACATTTTTGTTTTCACTTCAGAGTTTGACAAAGTGGTCAAATTAAAGTTGTTTACCGCATGACATGGATAAGTACATTTAGTACATGTTCAGGAAATGTTTTAATGAAATTATCGAACATTCGTGCAAACGCAATTTAAAGACCCACAAAACTTTCAGAGACAAGATTTTTAAATTCTTAATTAACATACTCGTATTTTAATTCAAACTTTATAATATTAAAACTTTTGCAACATATGAAGGCCTAAACTAATCAACATTGATTGAAAAATACTAACTATAATTTTTTATATCGTGAACCCCAAGCCAAAAGTAAAATTACCCTTACCCCTTGCCGCCTTCATTATAGTTAGTGTGCTTAAATGTCTAAACAAATTTCATTGTATTTTCACTGCACAATGAAATATTTTGATATTTGATATTAATTTATAAATTATATGTAGCGCTTGTCTAGAATTTAACATTAGGTATTTCTTATATACGTACATTGTACTCTTTAGAAATTGCGACACACCATATGTTCTATTCTAGCAGCCACCGGGGGTTTGCTTCCTTCAGTTTGAGGAACGATGGTTTTTAGCTCTCAGTTTAAACATAAACTACACTATGTCAAAATTTGAGTCTAGACCATATTAATATATAACACAAATTTCGGCATCGTGAAACATTAGTTTATACTCAAGATTGTTTGAATATCGACTTAAAAGTAGGGTAAAAAATATCTGTGTGCGTTCGCTTGCTAACGTGTGTGTTCGCTGCACGCCGCAGCTGACGCAGGCGCTCGAGAGCGGCGGCCGCGGCGCGAGCCACGTGAGTCCCACGCATGGCCCACTCCACATACTGCATCACTCGCATCTCTCATAATATGAAAAGCCACCATGTGTACATAGAGCACGTGTAGCGCCACATTAAGCCTAACTGATGCCAATATTGTCTCTCATAATTTTGTATCAAATAATTTGTATATCGATTATTCTTCATTATTAGATCGTCAGTAGTCTATTACTGGACAAGAGCCTTTTCACAGCCAGGTTTTCCTCTAATTCCCAACTTTGTTAGCGGATTGATGATTGTTGTACCTAACCTTTAACATCTTTGATATTTCTTCTACTCCTATCGTCGTCAGTTTAGGTATTATAGAATTGGCATAATATACGGGATCTGTTACGAATCACTGGATAAGGGATTTTTTTAAATGATACATATAGATTGTCATGGGATTAACGGGTAAATCTCTCACACGAGGGAATCTCTCCGTCACCGTTACAGCCTAACAAAGGTCTACTACTAAACATAGAAATCTTTATTGGGGCGAATTTTGCTACAGTTTTCAGCTTATAATTTATAGGTGTTGTTACGAAGACTTTCTTTATAATTACTACACTACTATTCAGCTACACCCCCGGAATTATATAAAGTAGGGGCGGGTGTTCTTACACCGTCACTGCACAGAAACAATATCAGCAGCCTTCTTCAAAATTATTTTATAACAATTATTTAATTGTTATAATACTTAGTGAACTAAAATTAAAATATCGTATATATTAAAAACAATTTAGGTCAAACTGAAATAGAGGGTCATTATATTTATTACGAATATAAGAGAGTTCCAATGTTTAATTATGTGCTAAAGTGATTGTCTTCAATAACTTAATTTAGGTACCATTTAATAAAAAAGAGTTATTTATAAATATCAAAGCATACTTCAGGCTTAGTGTGTCGCTACTCAATGAAACAAAGTACGAGATTTTTCGTAACTATAAACTACGTATTAGTTATTTCACTGTAAGCTTTGTGGTGTTAGACTTTTTATTTGTGTTTGTGACATCTTAATCATCGCTAGCCGTTTCACATCGATGTTGTTGCATGGACAAAATTTTAGAATAATTTCTAGAAACTGTCTGTTATTCTTAGTTTCAGAATTCTGCTTATTTTTTTTTATAGGATAGTGCGACAAACGGGCACACAGTCCACCTGATGGTAAGTGGTTGCTGCCGCCCCATAGACATCTACATCTATCCTTGATTATAAATCAAAATGCTGATGCGTTATCACCCGTGAGGACTTAGATGGAATGCCTCGTTTCCAGTAAAAAGGGTCTCTGGTTCTCTACACTCACTATACGAAACACAGCAGCATTAAGCTCATTTAAATGAAAAAAATAAATAAATTATCCCCGGTTGAGCCGACCCATTCGTGCTACAACTATACTACTAATGTAACTGCAGCATGGATCTACCACGTATAAGTTTTTCATTATCTTTGCTTATGTTTAAATCGTGCTATATAATGCAAACGAAGTTATTTTTAATCGTGTATACTATGCTTTGAGATGATTCAGATTTTTTTTGTGGGATTAGTGCAGTAATACATTTTGTCTTAATATTTTTAACGTTCATCAGTATTTTGGTTACTGTATCATTAAGTATTTATTTTTGCTAATCATTAGCTCAATTTGGAAATTTTCATTTTTTATTTTAATATGGATCTTGATATTATATACTCTATGATTAGAAAATTTTAATACTATTTCTGGAAGCACGGAGATATGATGGTTTATCACATTATCTTTGCTATTTCTATCAGAAACTAGATGAAATTTTTGATTTTGCAAAACACAATTTAACTATCATATAAAAGATCTTTTGGGTTTGTTTAAGTAAGTTCCCTGTTGAATTAAAAAAGATATTTTACGAGGAGAGGTAAAAAATTTCGCGGAATGATTCTGAAAGGTGGTGGTATTAAACATGAAATTATTTTTCCTTTTTGATATATTCTCTACTAACCCTAATATAATTCTCAAACTGTACAAATAACATACCTTTGAAAGAAAAATGCTTTGTCATGGCTCTCAAAATAGTCAGGTAAATTGCCGATATCATTTCTTTGTCATCTGTAAATTTCTTTTCCCGAAGCTCTTTTTTCATATTTGTCAACAAATAATAATCCGAAGGGGCCTGATCTAGACTATAGGAAGAATGGTTAAAAATTTCGAAGCCGCACTTGTGTAAGGAAGCCATCACAACATGACTCTTGTGAACGAGTGCTTTGTCGTGCAAAAGGAGCACATCTCCAAACAACTTTCCCCTTATTTTTTCTTCAATAGCATCTTTTAATTTCTCTAATAGTGTAGCGTAATACTGTTCCGTGATATTGACACCTTCGTCTTTATAACCGATCAATGGAATCTCCTCCGAATCTCAAAAAATTGAAGCCATAATATATCCAGCCGATTGTGACACCTTGAACTTCTAAGGCGGAGTTGGGCTTGTTTATAAACTTCATGGACTTCTGTTCTGACTCACTTTCATAGTGATGAACCCAAGTTTTATCCTCAGTTAAAATTCGGTTTAAAATTTCGTCCTCGTTCTCCACTGCATAGGTCTAAAAACTCGCACGAACCCTCGACTGCAGCTGCTTTTGAAGAGGTGTGAGTATTCTTGGCACCCATCTTGTAGTGATCTTAGACATGCCAAAATGGTCATGGAGAATGTTTAAAATGGTCTTGATGTTACAACAGTAATTTCTGCGTTCTGTTTTTTTTCAAACGAACATCTTCAAGAACAAGGTTTTCACTTTTTCGACAAAGTCTCAGGAAGTTGTCTCAATCGGTCAGCCTGAACGCTGATCGTCTTGAATTGAGTTTCTGTCTTGCTTCAAAAGACAATGCCACTCGTAAATCATCGTTTTTTCCCAGGCAAGAATCCCTGTAAACAGATAACATCTAATGATATGTGGCCTTTTTCATGCTAAGTGAGGAACTTAATCACGGCACGAAACTTAATTTTCTCCATAGTTAGTGCTTTTGACTTGTTTAACCTGTGATATATCAAAGGCTAATCAACCGATCTAGCTAAAACTTTGTATTTATTGTATTAAGTTACTAAGTAGTGACAGTTAAAAAATCCCCCTTCCTTTTCCAACCCCTCCATTCCGCGAAGTTATTGACGCGCCCTTGTATAATATTTGAAAATGATTTCACCGCGGTTTAGGTAGCACATTGAAATTGGGTTGTAATTCTTAAAATGATTTTTTTTCTATATGTCTTATGTAAGAGTGTTTGATTGATACATTTTGGTGGTGTTAGCGATTCTACAAGAGCAGCAGCAGTAGTGCAGTGTAGTGACGTGTGTCGGTCCTCAGATAATGCGGCTGGACTCGTCGTTCGAGTCGCTGTCGGGGCTGGGCGGCGGGCGCTCGGGCAGCGTGGCCGACCTGGCGGACGCTGCGCCGCGCCGCGCCGCGCGCCACTCGTACGCGGCGCCGTCGCACGCGCACGTCGATGCGGACCCCTGCACGCCGCCCAAACCCTTCGGCCTCGGTCAGTGCACACCGCTCACATATGTCCTTATTCACTTGTATTTAAATATATATTGAATAATTTATACTTGCAATTGTTATCACTTGCGTTAAATTCCAGCTTGATTTTTATAATTTGGATTAACACTTGTACTTACTAGTTTTGTTGTGAAACTAGTACCAGTGTTTATCCTAATCACAAAAATATATTGAAAAAGTTTACTTCAATCAAAAAATTGGTTTGAATTTGTAAAAGGTCTTACTTTATCTACGTTCATCATTTTCTTTCATTCATTCCATATGCCAATTTCAGACGTAGTTTTATTAAGAAGAAATAATTAGTTTTATATAATCGTTTGTTCTTTAGTGTTATTTTAGTTTATAAAACATATATTACCATAACTATTTTAAGCACTAGATATTTTTTAGATATCCATAAAGTAAGACCTAAATAACTACTATATCTAATAGAATTACAGTATAAAATACGCAAGCAATACTACTACTTCCGATGTAATTGTCTATCTCTTTCTAATTAAATATTTTTTCTATGTCATGCCTATTGTAACATTGTTGACAATCACTAGACGCACTCATGCAAAATACTATGTGATTAGTGTATTAGAACATACTTTTATAAACCATGATCTAATATACATTCATATATTTGTATGGACTTGGCCATTAACATATTGAACACAAGTATTACAGAGTAGAAGTTAATTTAGTGTTTATACAGATCCAAAAAATTTGCACGACACAATAAACTGTAGACAAGTAGTATTCTCTAGCATATTGTTTTAAGATGACATGAAATAAATAATACAATCACGAAATAATGTAGACGATATTTAATAAAAACATTAATTTAGGCCTCATCACAACATCATATTGATTCACTTTAGGCCACCACGAGTTTACATCTATCACTTCGTACATTTATTCTATTTGATTTACATCTTTCTATCCACTTGCTTTGTGGCAATGCTATGCTCTTACACACTCCTCTTTTTCTTATATTTTCATTCGTTCTTTTACCCTTTTATGTTTAAGGTCAAAAATTGTATCAAATAGTTTTACAGAAATTTTCGAAACTCAATTGGCTTTTTTCTGTAGAAACAATTCTGTTCGGATAGTATACAAAATTTCTAATAAATTAAATATTTGTCCTTATTTTTACATACAAAACAAAATAAACAGTTTATAAAGTTTGTGTTCTATCCGAAAAGATATATCAAAATGTCAAAATTTTGAAGCCGTCAACTGACCCGGCTTGAACTAACGTGTTTTTTTTCTGTACTTTGACCCCCGCTACCTTCAGGCTCATTCTTATCAGGTAAAAGGAACAATAAATCGTATTGACTCAGAATGGCAACTGTATGGCGAAACTATTAGACGAATGTTTAATTGCAACGTGAATAATATAAGAAATAGTTGTGTTGTGATACCGTTACACGATTGGATAATCTTTGTTTCTGTTATGTCCTTGATTGGCTGTTTATGAATTTTAAAAGCTCATTTGGCTTTTCTAAATTATTTAAAAATAACTTGGCTCATCCCAAGGGTTAGTGACGAGATTGTTTTCAAAATTGAGCACTACATACAAAATTAGACTAAAACCCTGGGGCTGTTAGATTGTAAATTTATTCCGCAGGCTTCAAGCGTCAAGCAAGCTTCTATTGTTGTGTTATCTACGATTTCGTTTGCGTTTTTGTTTAATTTGCATGGACCGAGCATGACTTATATACTTCCTTCTCCCTTCCTCTTCGTAATTCTATTCGCTGTGAACTTCAAGCGAAAAGTTCTTAAATGGATTATAAATAACTTTGCTTATACTATTATAGAGTAAAAGAATAAAATAGTAAAAATAATACAACCTAATTAATACAGACAATACAGAAATATTTTATTTAAGTTGACTATAAATCTTGATGTGTTAAAAAACTTGAAAGACAGTCCTTGTAAAAGTAGAACGTAAACTGTAGATATAGACAAACAATATGGAACTTAGCGGCTGTGTGCTAGAAATGAAGTGCATGTGATTGTAGTAACTCGTACGGTATGCATTGATTAATACAAGTATTATTAGAATTGTAATCTACGCATGTTTTGGGGTGTGTAATGTAAACATATGACTACTGAGAGGTAACTTTACCATTTACACCAAAGTATTTGTTCAATTAAAAAAAGTATGTGTAATAGGCAAGAAATATTTTAATAGAATGAATAATAATATAATGTGATATATTTGTAAATTTGTACATATTATTATTTGATTGTTCTTAAAATATGGTAAATGTATATAATTTTTAGAAATATTGTTCAAAACTAAAAGTGGGTTGGAATGTGAATATTATTTTATTAAGAAAAAAGAAATATTATTTGTGCAATTTACGTAATTTAGACAAATGTAACATGTTAATATTTCTATTTAAGAAAAAAAGAAAGAAATAAGTTTATTATTTCATACCTTCTGTTCAGAAGACTTTGTAAAAGTAATTGCGTTCGATATTTTGTATCGTGTCTAGTGACTAACATTGATAAGGTGATTAACATTTCTATTGCAGCTCGACCAACGTTCCTAAACTTGAATTTGAACCTGAACTCACTGCGACTGCAGACGCCGAATAAGTGTACGTCCAGATATTTAAGTCGTAGAATCGCTAGAATCGCTTTGTTTCGACAGTTTTGTTTGGTTACATCGTCTTATACTACTTGATTTTGTATGTTCATTTTATCTTCACTCTGATTTCTACCGTGTTTGGACATACAGTGTGATTTGTACTGTATTTAGTTATTAAAATACGGTTTAATTTAAAGTGAATTTTGGGTTTACTTCAATACTTTATTTCTAAATGCAATATAGTCTTATTTTTATTTGCTACGACTCATTAGGGGTTGTTTATTGGTGCGACATTGGCATGATATTAATTATTTTTGTAAAACCGAAGTTGGGTTGCGAGCACCTCAAGTTTAAACACTTTTTTATTGTGTTTTGTTGTAAATTTTTGATAATATTTTATTTTATAGATATTATTAATCTGTGTCTTTTGCGTTCCTCCTCCGGCTTCAGGCATGAATTGGTGATCATTTTCAAAATTATCTACGAATATGCTTACTTCTCTTATTACGAATTAAATTAACATCATTAAAAATATATAAGCGCACCGCACCGCATTTGAGGAAAACTTGAGGCAGAATGGCACTGTTTACTTATATTTTATTATGACACAATTATTTACATCTTTATTTTCCTTTTATAAATATTCTGTTCTAATTGGATTCGTTAATAAGTTCCATCCATGTTTTCGTGTTTAGACTCTTTATGAGGTATAATTAAATCACCGAAATAAGTTTTTATGTTTAAGTTTTATATGCTTTAAATAAGTAATATATTAACATTAAAATAAAATTTGAAGTTTTTTCTTTGGGTTACATTTTAATTTTCTCTTGGTTACTAAATTCCGAAATTCATAGTAAAAAGTATGCTAGTTTTTTCTTATTTCTGTATGAAATAGATTTATTTTTCGTTTCGTGTATTGTATTGTTGATATGTTCTTTCGCACAGCGTCACCGGCGAGCGGCAAGCTAGCGTTGCGTATGACGACGCTGCACGAGGAGCCCGGCCGCAGGAACGACGACGATTCGCATTCGGAGCCCGAGTCCGCGCCCACAGACGAACTCTCCACGCCGCGCTCACACGTACGTTGATATCATCATGGTAAACCATCACAACCCCACTGCATCATAGATCTTCCGCAAAGACTGATTTACAGCAAAGTCATCTGTATTCTTATGTTACATAACGTCTTGACAAGTTGGTCACCATAACGTGCAGTAGCACTGCATAAAAGCTTTTATTTAATGCTCATATTCAATTCAGTTCAGTAATATTAAAGATGGAAAATTAAGTAGCTAAACTCAGCGTGAAAAACCAAAAGATGTTTATTACCTAGTATGAAGGACACTTCCCTGCCTCCCATAATTGCTTGCATTATAATTGCCACCACTTAACATGACCACACCCAATTCAACTTTCTGAATCACTTTCTTCCGATGGTACTTTATGTTGTGGCGAAACACGTGAACAAGTATCGTGTTATCGATGGTGGTGTGTAATCCTAGTGTAGTGGACAGCGTAGTTACCATTACAGCCTAACAAAAGTCCACAGCTGGACATGGCTCTCGCCCATAAATTGTCGTAGGGGGAATATTTGCCATTTCTTGCGACACCTACGGGACTATATAAGGCAATATACAATATGTAACAAAAACTCTGTAGTCCCGTCCCCGATAATTCTTTTTCAAAAAACACATTTAAAAAAATAATTTTAATGAAAAAAAAAATTAATTTGCAAATTGTATGTGGTTTTATTTTCTCTAACTCACACGAGTGTGGTAATGCGGGGTCTTTGACAATCCTCTTACTCCTCGGCCAATGCAGAGATAATAAAACCACATACAATTTGCAAATAATTTTTTTTTTATAATTTTGTTTAAATGTGTTTTTTTAATAAAATTTTTCTATATGCTTGGATACTGACTCTGATAACGCAGTTAACGGGAACCACAGGGTTATTGTTACATGTATATTCTTACACCACCACTTTACGGTCTTTATTTGTGTTCTTTCTTTCTTTGTAAAATAATTTCTGTGCGAATGTTTATGCCGTTTTAATTAAGTAGTTTATGATCCCACAGCGCACACGAGTTCGCGGTGGTCCACGCGGCTTCCTGCCGACGTCCAAGACGCTGGATTCATTGCACGAGCTCGCTTGTGAACGCGCCCCCAACAAGAACTCTCCATCTATATCTTCCAGTGGCTATGGTAATGACCTTTTTGTTGTTTTATTATCATAACATAATACACGAGCGCACTAATTTCATGCTGGCTGCATTGCCAAGGTCGTTTTTGTAGGTCAATTGCAGCTACAGCATACATTAATAAAATTTTAAACTATGAAATAAATTTATATTGCAGAACGCATGCTATCAATTTTTGCAATTACAGTGCTATTCTAATGTCAATGTCATTAATATGTACGAAGAGCAACAATTTTAATATGAAATGATTTCTTCCATGTTATATCGCTTATTAATGATATTTAATTTTCTGCACAGGTTCCCAAGCGGTATCATCAACGAACCTCACAATCGATGATACTTTGTCGATCCGCAGCATGTCGGTCGACGACACGCCCGACTTTGACAAAACGATGGAGTACTCTCAGTTCACGCGAACCAAATCATCCGTTCTTGGCCTAAGAAACGAGATCACCGAACTAAGGAACGACATAACTGAATTGAAGAATGACATAGTCGAGTCCAGGAATGAACTAGACGATTCGTCGTTTGATAAAGCCAAAACGCCGGTGTTGACTCCTGGCTCCAGAAATCGTGTCAATCCTTTCCTAAGGGATTGTGAGAACGCCGCTAGAGAAACCCAAGATGGGCAGTTGCTGGATCCCCTAGGGGCTTTACCGGTGGAGACTCATACAATTTCGACTAGTCCGACTAGCAAGGCGGCCGAAAATGTTCACGTCAATGGTGATGCACATGATGCTTCCTTCGGTAAGTTTAAGTTTAATTTAACGAACCCTTTTTCCCCTATTATGGTACCAATTGCAGAGCAAGGGTTTCTTTTTCTCTTTCGCGAAAGGTAGAAATAAGGCCAAGGGGATCCAGGAAGCGTCAATCTTTTTTGGCCCAACTCTTCGCCTTCCACCTTCTTGTGGTGACCAAAAAGTAGCGATTTTGGCCTACCTATTCAGTTTCATACGATGCACATGTCCGGCCCTGTTGCAGATCAGTTTCGCACTTTTGGGTTTTCCGGCTATTGAGCGCTGCTATGTGATCCAGATTCTATTAATCCATTGGAATCATAATGAAGCGTTGGAAAATTTTTAGTCGTAACTTTATACCTCATTTTGTAATTTTATATATTTTGAATTTGCAAGCATTCAACAATCTTTGATCCATTGAGAGGCGGTGTAACAATTCTATATGATCTGAATGATAGCGTCACGTGGGTGTCGTGAGAGGTGACAGAGGGAAACTGAAACAGTGAAATGGGCAACAGCTTCTTTATAACAACTCAAATTAATAAAAACCTGCGGTTTCCAACCTACCTACCAAGCGTGGCAACTATGGCAAAATCCTCCGTATGAAGCAATCTATAGAAAGTTCTATGTAGCTGTAAAGTTTTTAAGCTGTAATGGATTAATGTATGGTTGTTTTGCAGTAGGCTAAAAATGGTTGAAAATTTTAATACGGATTTACATGAACATGAAGTTAAAAACGTTCTGCAATATTAGGCACGACAAGTAGCGATTACTTAAACAGGGCTTAGGAACAACTTAGTTTATTCTATGAAGCAGATGACAATGTTGATGAAAACTAAGTTAATCTAGGGAAACACGCGCTTATCGTTCGACAAGCGTGATGACGAAGTGACATAAGGGCCGTGTACAGCAGTAACTTGCAATAGATTGTCTTTAGTGGTTACGTTGTTTTGTATATTATAAAAGGTGATTTAAAAATACACTGGTTAATGAATTAGGCGAGGCGGAGGCTGAAGCGGAAGCGGTAGCGGAGGCGGAGGTGGGGTCGACAAGCTCCGAGCCGTCGAGCCGCGAAGGAAGCGGGGAGGCGTCGTCAGTCGGTGACAGTGATTCTGCTGCTCCAGACGCGCCTGTTTCTACGCATCTACCCGCCGGAAAGGTTAGCTTTGCTATATTTTTTATAACATACTGTTTTCTTTTTATTTAGTTCTCCCACATCAGGAATTTATCCTGTATGTGGGAAGTATTTTACATACATTTTTTTGGCAGATTTGAAGTGACAAACGAAGTTGCATATAAAACCAACTTCGACCAAAGAAAGCACAGAAGCGTTGTCATTTTTGAGTGTTAAGATGAAATGACTCACAGTCTCTAATTATGCAGGCTTTATACTCTTTACACCGAAACTCCATATATTTAATCTACGACGGCTACATAAAACCAAAAAAGCTGCTTTTACCGACTCGGTTGTCAAGCGTGGCAGCTATGGCAAATGTCCTTTTACGAGGCAATTTATGTAGGCAATTCAGCAGCGGACTTCTGATCATAAAGAATGAATGTGTGAATAATGTAATGACAGCGCCCGTGGTTCAGTGGTTTATTATTGAGTTGCAGTTGTATTGCTTACAAATAAATGTTTGTAGTTTGGATGTTTGTGTTGTTTAATTTATGTACGTAAGCTGCTTCAACGATATACAATATGTAACGTAATTAACGCACACTATCAGACACTCCAATTAGTATATTATGTTATAATCATAATACATACACTGAATTTTTAGTTACATTTTTATGCACTGATTATTTATCAAATTAGTTATACTAATTCCGGAAGAATGTTGTGGTCACAGTACAAATCCACGAACGCAAGGACTTTAACGTGCTTGAAATAAAGTTCATTTTTCTTTATTTTTATTGAATGACAGAATTAGTAATAATACAAATAAAACTGCACTTTTAAAAGTCTTATTGCCTTAAGTTACGGTTCATTTCATTTGTTTTGACGTACAGATTTAGTGTGACTGTAATTTACGTAGTTTTAATTATTTTTGGGATAAAAATTACCTATATTAAAAATGATAGAAATCGATTCGGTAAACGGTTCCGAACAAACTACTTTCTCAAAGTGCGTTAATTATGTTACGTGTTGTATATAAAATCCTAGTGTGGGGATGACGTTTTTACAGAAAGAAATGTTATGTGACAGGTGGTGCGTAGGAGAGCGGGCGGCAGTGCGCGCAGCGCGGCGCGTGCGTCGTACCCGGCGGCGCGCCCGCGCTCCGCCGCCGAGTCGCACGCACACGCGCGCGCTCTGCCCGACACGCCCGCCTCCTCTACCGAGCGCATCGGTGACGGTAAACAATATTGTTATCCTTTTGCCCGAATTCCACTACGCTTGTTACTTTCGAATAAGCACGTTTTTTAAGAAAGCTCGTTTAAAAAAAATATTCTTCTTACGATTGTGGTGACGATGTCCAAAATTTCAAGTTTAACCCATCACTCATCAAGCAGTTATTTTAAAAAATATACTTAATAGAAATGTGGTAAAAAAGAAACCCCCCTGGCATTTTACTCTGTCCCCCCCCCCCATGGGAAGTAGCGAGGAAAGGATGCAGAATTTTCCTGTTTTATCAGTTTTTTCAGCGCGAGTCTAAGGAATGGCAATATGGGCGCGAGTGGCCGGCCACGTGAACGCAGTTCGAATCGAACGCTCATTACGGAGGTATCGTTCTATTACGATGAATAGAACGATACCTCCGTATTGAGCCACCATCTCCGTTGCTGAGGATGACGACCTATATTTCTTTTTATAAAATTCCTATATTTAGCTATACTAAATATCCATATAGCGCGCATGCTGCCACAGTTTCAACAACCATAGTATTGCAAACGCGAGCGATCTAGTGCACAGCGTCGTGATTAATTGCGCAAGTAGAGCAGTGTGTGGGCAGAGAAGGCAATGGGCAACATCGCGGCATCGTGATGAGCAGCACGAGGAGCATAGTGGGGCGGAACCATTGGATTGGCACAACCACGACCACGCTCGAATAGAATTCCAGCATAATGCTGAAACGAAGATCCAGTAAGAAATACGAGTATCCTTTTTTCCTTTCACCTTTACTCGTATAAAAATATCGTGCCACGATATGGGAATGATAGATAATTTTGTGATGTCATCACACAGAGCGCAGTTCTTGAGAAATGTATAAAAACAAGCGATTCAATGCCATCTCTATCACAAGTATTTTTTTAGTTATTCTATAGATTAGTACGAATTTAAACAGTAACTATAGATATAGATAAGATATGTGGTGACAACGTGACTATACTCATCAAGACTTATAAATGGAGCGGTGAACGCTGAGTCGACCTCCGCTCTACTAACATTGTTGTTCCATAAACCAGTTTGTGAGATATCAGTCCGGTAAAATTGAGATGAATTTCCGTCATCATTCGATCTCCAGAGCCTCATTCGTCAGACAGCCAGTACAGGTCTTACAGTCTTACTCCAAAGTAAACGTAGGATTGAACACAATTTCAAGCCAAGTGCGAATAGGCTATTGTTAAGCTAAGTCAGTGGTGCGTTTTACTATCCTCGGCGATATCAGCACTTACCATCAGGTGGAAAATTAGTAAAGCACTGGTTAATATCTAAAAGAATATTTGATGCAAAATTACATGATTATGTGATTAATCTGTGCAGAAGATTCATCGGAGAGCGGCAAGTCGTTCTCGGCGCCGGAGTGGCTGGCGCTGGGCGAGAGCGTGCAGCTGCGGCTGAGCTCGGGCACGGGCGTCGTGGCGTACGTCGGCCCCACGCACTTCGCGCACGGACTCTGGGTCGGCGTGGAACTCGACGCGCCCATTGGTATGTTGAGCCGCCTCCAAATATTATAATGCTAAGTAACCAATTGAACTGTTGTATTTAAAACTCAGTCGTATTACTTTAATATAAAGCTCAATTTATTTTAATTATAAAGTGTAGATATCTATATACAACATAAATATGCAGCAAAAACTTTCTGTCCCTTCATTGAAGAGGGAATGAATAGGCTTTCGTTACGCTGTCAGTGTGTTTTACCGTCTTCGGTTGCATCACCACTTACCATCAGGTGGTATAGTAGTCAAGCACTGGCTTAAAATGGTTTAATTTTTGAAATGAAATAAATATGAAATAATAAATTAACAGTGTTTACTTTTTGGATTTTCAAATTAATTGTAGTATCGCAAATAAAAATTCGTAATATGTAATTACGTTATTCACATCCATCGACCCTCCGAGAAACATAAAAAAAAAAACCATACTTAGCTTACGTCATATTTATAGCTATATATAGTGTTAACATTAGTATGTCAGTGACCCGAACTTATAAAAAAAAACTGCGTTTGCAACTTGCTTGCCAAGCGGCGCGAAGCGGATAGAAATTCAGTACTTGCAGTCCTTCAGAAGCTTCTTTAATTCCGTCTCCTCCGTGGTGGCACTACTCCAGAGACGTGGAGCGGAAGTACGGCGCGGCGGTCTTGTTCTTCAAGAAAGGCGATAACGCTCTGTTAAAGAACTACCAACCACGATTTCTCTTCCGAGCCGCGTCTACGTGCTGTTTTTGAAAGTCATTACGAATCGTCTCGCACGCAGACTCGATGACTTCTAGCTTTCCGTTTGCGAAAAGGTTTTAGTACCATAGAGCACAAATATATATATATACTCTAAATTTTACATAAGATGTACAATCTGCCACTTTGTCTTGCGTATGTAAATTATATAGACTTCTCCTCTCCGCCGCGCACGATGTTCACAGTTCTCACACAACCTCAGAGTAATTACTAGCATAGAGAGAGTCCTTAAAACAGAACAAAGCCTCATATAATCCAAACTCTTTTTTTATATGACATTTCACACAGTATAAAAAGATCGTTATATGAATGTCCGTTAAATGTATTTTAGCGATTATATATATCAAATACAGTCTCATTTTTACAAAAAACCGACTTGTTATTTTCAAAATAATGTGAAATACAGTTTACTTACAGTTATAATGTAATTTAATTCTAGGATAATAAAAACGTACACACCAGTGGAAGCTTTCGAATTCTGAACCATGTTCCTTACGGGAAGAGTAAAATAAGCCATCTCTATTGATATATTTTATTTAAATCCATCACGCAAATTCTCATCTTATCATACAGATATCTTGATATCTGTATAAGATGCCGCTGCTAAAATTTCCAACGATTTGCCACCACCAGTCCGGTCTACCCTAATTACCGTCTATCTTCCGACAAAGATGCCGCAAGTGGCTTATTCAAAAACAGTCCCTGGCTCTATGTAGCTTTGATACCCTCTCAAATTAGACTGCTTTTCTTTGTATTAAGCAACTATAATTTATAAATTGTTTTATTTATATTTTATTTTTATTTTTTATTACTGATACGTGTGTTTCATCAATTGCCTAAGACCCTGTATGAATTATGCGCAAAGGCTGTGGCAGAATAGCTGGAGTAATGGGTTTCCCATTACAACTGAGTCACAGACCGTTAACATAACAATAAATAATACGTGTATGTGCAACTATGCTAGTATTTAATGCAATGCAATGCAATGCAAGATTAAATGCTGCTGAGGAGTACCCCTCAAATACTGAGATTGTAGGACGCAAAATAAAACGCTGTTTATCGTAAGGCCGTGCTAATGGTACTGAATTTATTATAAGAAAAATATGTGTACAATGCATTAAAGTGACGTCAAACACGAGCACGCGCTCCAATTACGCTAACATATAAAAATGTACGGGTTTACTCGTACAATACGACTTAATTAAAATTACATTTGTCAAATAAATCAGCCAGTACGATCTTGGACAAAATAAATACGATCTTATCAACTAAAAAGAGACCAAAGATGACCACTTGACATTTCTTTTTCTACGCATGAATTATAGGCAACATCTTAAAATATAATTTTCTCTTTTTTGACTTATTTGAAAATTAAATTAGAAAAAGCAAGACAAGTATATTGACTCAATTTATGTAGAATTGTAGGTTCTCTTTATGCATACGTATGTATTTAAGCACTCAACGTAACGAATCATTTGGTCTTTTAGCTATCGAGTGGTGTAATTAAATTTAGGAATTAGATGATAGATGCATATTATGTAGCTGTTACCAAATTGTATTCGCAGATTTTGTTATTATCAGTTTTCTGAATTTTCTCCCACTGTGAAAGCAAATTGAAACATATATTCACGTCAAAAGTAACATTGAATGTAATGTGGGCACTCGGCAGGCAAGAACGACGGGTCGGTGGGCGGCACGCGGTACTTCACGTGCCGGGCGCGGCACGGCATCTTCGTGCGGCCCGACAAGCTCGCGCACGACCGCCGCGGCCGCAGCGTGCGCGCCTTCCGCGATGCAGAGCTGCGCCGCGCTGCCAGCAAGGGTGCGCACGCCGAGAAACCACGCACCGACACGCACCAAAACACCACCAACACAAACCGACACGCACCGACGCGCACCGACACGCACCGACACCTTATATTTGCGCTAACACTACACATTGAAAAAATCTATTTATATGGATTTTGTTTAATTAACTTATTAAGTTAATTTTTCTAGGTTAATTCCTCTGGGACACGAAGTTAGTTTTAACCGGGGAACCTAACCTAATTTAAATATATGTTTGTGAAGTATTCATATTAAAAACTTACCAATCATGAATATTACTTGAAACTAATTGCACAAAACAACTTATAAACTCTAATTCAAAACAAACAAAATAAATAAGTGAAATGGCGGATTGTGTCAGCGCTACTGAATTTAGCAAACGTGTCCTGGCCGAAAACCGTATAATTTCGCCATTTTGCTTACAAGCGTTTGCTAGCGCTTTTTTTGCCAAACGCAGCAAATGTATAAATTGTTCTATTGACGACAAACAAACTTTAGTTTCTTCAGACTTCGTTTTTTTTTAAATATTATTTTACTTTTTATAGGTGAAGGTCTACAAAATCTACACAGATCGAGGAGTCGCGGCGACAGCATAAACGTTGTCGGCACTAAAACAAGGAGTAAATAAATCGCCACCAACCTCCCGGTCGCATCGTTCCCGTCAGGACACTATCGGACCGAATTGAAACAAACGTCCACATTACCATTTATCACTCCGTTTCTACTTTATTTGCACACTCCCCTTACGCGTTACGGTGCTTTTTACATAGTTTTATCATTTTGTTCATCAACGAGCAATATAGTATGCCTTTATTTTTTTAATTATTTAACTTTTGTACATTAAACGAATCGGTTATGTTGTAGAAACGGTACCTCTCGTGTTAATTGATGACATTAATAAACAATCGTAGAGAAACCAGTTTCCAGCGTATGCTCGACCACGCTAGTTAATTATTTAATGTTGCGTTAGATGTCACTGTAATGTTGCATTTGTTGTATTTTTAATAATTGACCATAGAGAAATTCCACTTGTAAATAGAATTGACATTTTTTAAATCATGTGGTTTAATTTTTTATTATTTGATTTCTATGTAAATATGTGAATTTTTTGTGTGTATTATTATTAATAATAATTTAATAATTTTAGAACCAATGAATCGTATGTAATCATTGATAAGAATTGGTGGGTTTTGTAAAGTTTTTTACTGTATAGTTTGTGGTACATGTTGCGGTAAATTATTTGTCTGTTAGCTCAACGCCTAATATATGTGACACAAGTGAAACCACAGTTGTTTGCATTCCATTGACAAATCATAACCGAGGAGTTGATCTCTGTTCGCTTGTATGCATAGACATTTTTGATGTAATTTTCGAAATGAAAGGTTGAATTTAAGACTTTCTAAAAAAAAGTAGTACAGCCGTGCTGTACCTGTAGTATGATTGAAGCAAGAATGAATTGACTCGACCGGGGAAGGTTTGCACAGAGAACCAGCGACGGTACAACCTCGCTCTGTTTCATAAGGCCAGTGAAGAATTCCTGTTAATTATAACGCGGCATTTCGCCCGATTCCGCAGGCGTGACGATGCATCTATCTGCACAGCATCCACCTTTTATCGAGTGTAGACTGTGTAGTCATTGTCGCCTTTAATTAAATTTAAAAAAAAGCAGACAAAATCTTTCTGAAATAGGTAAATTGCACACAGGCCGCTAGTAATCGAATTTTCGGTACAACATTCCACAACCTTATTTACAATACGAATAAGTCTATGTATCCAACCGAATAAAGAGATAAAAATTCGATTTTCGAACATGTGTATGAGTGTAAAATATTTTAATTTTATGACTTAAAGTGCTCATTGCATAATACATTTTATTGTTATTATATTAAATTTATATGTTTTATAAGTTTTAAACGTGTAAAAATATTTTATGAACTTAAATGCTGCTTTTGAAATTAAATGTTGCTTTTACATTGCATTTAAACAAACGTTTCGAAATTGCTCAGCTCTTAACATTTAAAAATTGCCAGTCTAATGTGATAGTTTCTTGCCACGGGACTAAAGACCATAACTGATTTAACATAGAGTATATTATTTAATGCAATTCCCGTCCCTAGACGCTCTATTTTGATTCTTTAAATACAATAAATCGTCCAGTTTCACATCTTCGTCCTAACAAAAGACTTTTGGTACTTAGTACACTAACAGTGGCACTTGACGGTCACGATCGATGCCCGAATAAAATAGTCATACTGGTTGGCGCAAGTGACAAGCTTAAACGGGCTTTAAACTACATATTTAAAATGGACTATTACAAGTTGAATCACTTATACTACTTATTCTTTTTGCCTGCTCAATTTATTTAATATTTTGTTCTGTGGTACTTAAATTTTATTTATTAGACGCTTGTTACTTGCGCTCCAAATTTATATCGTTTAGGTTGTGTAGAACTTTTGAGATGTAAAATAAAATATATAAAAAAAAATGTTGGTAGTCGTGTACCGGCGCGGTGTATATTAAATACGTCATTACTAAATCAATTTTGTCCTGAACTTATAATCTCCATCCGCATTCGAACAATAAGTCGATAGAGCTATCTGTAAATTTACTAGTGGAACAACTCCAACCTAACGCCATGAAAATGTTTTTATAGGCGTTTTGTCGTTTTGGACAAATGATATCATATTATTTAGCGAAGTATTTCGCGTGTAACCGATCGTGTTAGGATATGTCCAGAAGGCCGCTTCGTCGCAGCGGCTGTAGTCTATATAGCTCACCTAATGTATATTCCATCCTCTTAGAGTAATAAACATAAGTACATTTTGAGTACAGAAACAATTGAAACGCCTCGTTGTTTACTAGTGTTTGTAAGGTATTCACTTCTGCATTAATTGTAGCCCGCCACTTGCCTCCATTTCCATACACAATGTATATTTACATTTGACGTGTAAGTTATTTCTCATTAAATAAAAAATATAAATGTTCTCACGGAAGTATAATATCAACAAGTTTAAAAACTCGCACTAGAGAATTTAAGCTAACTTTATACTTAAGTTTCAACGAAACATTTTTCTATGGACCTTCAACATCGCGTGCTTGTTACACTTGGTACTTAAACATTCCATTTTTATTTCTTTTCATGTCCTCACGAAAGCTAACATTCGATAGAAGCAATTTTCGATCGTAAGTTAGATTTTTATAGATTTGTTTTTAAGGAATTCATTTCGCATTTTACGCTTCAAAAGATAATGTTTCTGTATGTAAGAAACTGGCCTCGACTAGGCAGCTCAATGTGTAGTCGACGTAAACAGTGTTATCATGGCAATTTCAAATAAAAGTAGGATGTGTTTTGAAACTCTCGATGTGCTTTTATCCAGTAGCTATAGTGGGATACGGGCTAATCATAATCGAAGAAAGGCAATAACAAGGTTTTGTGAAGAGAAGAGGGTTGGTACGTGGCGGTGTGTGCACTAGGGCTCCTAGGTTTAGGCTAATGGCGACCTTGAAGCAGCCTATCGTAGCTTCTATTTTTTTTTAGAAATTAAGCTGAACATGTGCTGTGCTTTTGTTTTAAACGATAGTTTGTAGGTAAATGAAATTATTTGTTTTATATTATAATTTTATAATCGTGTAGTTTATATTTATTGCAGTCAATTCAGTCATAATGAGCTTAAATGTATGTATTTTGTTTCACTGTATCGTGTCAGATATTGTTTTTAGATTAGAGCGCAATTGTAATTTTATTTGCCAGTTTTGTAAAATAACTAAATCACAAAATCAAATGTATTTTTAATTCTTTTATGTGATAAGCAAACATAGTTTAGGCAGCTACTTGGTAGCATAGATGGTTGGATCTTCATTACTGTAAACATAAGCATGAATAAAGAGATTTTAAAGTTTAATACAAAAAATAGGTAACTTTTAGTGGAAATATTTTTGCCAAGTAGAAAATTCAGTCAACCATCGCTGTCATTATCAATAAATGTATTATAAAAAAAAAAACTTTTTATTTATCTTCAATTACCATTTTCCTTCCTTAACTATTTTATCCTTATAAAATTAATAGAGTTTTATTTCTAAAACGTGCATCGCATTACATGTAGTATTTGACCTTTTTTTTTGTGAAAAATTTATAAGTGTAGACAATTTAGCCTCATTTTCTTGATGTCCTTTTTTATTTTATGTTTGTTCAAGTGTCAATGAGACTTGAATAAATAAGTTAAAATTTTACTCGCCTTAGATGCAGCCCAAAAATACCCGCCTCATCGATATCTGTGTACTGTGATATACCCAAGTATCGGTATTTTGTACAAAAGAAAGGATCTTGTAAATGGTCATAGATAAATCTAAGCTCTCAGAATAATCGACGTCCTTTCAACATTTAAATGGCTAAAAATTTTAATAGAACAACAACGTACAAGACAACTGCTCTATATGTCGTAAAATAAACAGGCGGTTTCTTGTGTGGCGGCGCTGTCGCCGCGCCGCAAGCATAGGCCGCATGCGAAACACACCGAAGCCTAAATCACGCTATCAAAATTCCGAATCATAAACAGTATATATACAACAGCTCAAAACTATCACACGGAGTGCTGGCTGCTCCCTGGGCAGAACACCTTGCCCGGCGGGAGATATCCTCTTTTCCTTCCACGGCCACACTAGTGACATAAAATGCCTAGCACAATGCTATATACAACAAATCACAAGCGCTAAATCACTAAATGCTATATACAACAAATCACAAGTGCTACCCTGTACGTCAAACTTTTTCCTGTACACAGTAACACCCTTATATCAAACAGTGTGGAACGGTAACACTAACTTGAAGTTTTCAAAATGGCGGTCTCTGCGTAAAAGATTCAAGACATTCCGAGCCTCCGGCAAAAATAATCTTGCGTTTGAATTCTTATAGTAGGGGAGCCCAAGAGAGGATTTTTTTGGATTTATTCAAGCGCGTCAGATTAAGGTAAAGTGGGACAAGCTAAAGAGTGCATTTAGAAAATCTGGCGATTGGAGCGTAACGTAAAGGAGTGGGAACGATTACAACGGAAGGGTTACAAAGTTTCAAAAAAAGGTCTTGACATTCTCGTGCGTGGTTGATTTTTTCATTTTGGAAGAAATAATGCAAAAATAACTGAAAAAACAATCTATCGATTTCCACAAGCCGAAACACTAAAAATCGTCAAGCATGCGAAAAATTTCAGAAACTATTAACCTAGGTTTGTATAAAAAAGGTTATTATCACAGAAATAGTAATAATAAGACAAAAGAAATGAATTAGCGCTCGATTACTTCCTAAACCGATGTCGCCACATCTTAAAGCGACCGATGCCTGCAGCCGTATTATAAACATACGCAGTGCACAATGATATCTAATATTTCACATTACTTACATTGCTTGGCGAGTTTGACAACGTCGCGTGCGTCGCGTATTACGGTAGAACAAAGCAGCAATGGTAATTGTATAATACGAAAAGTAATAAATAAAAGTTTACAAAGGTAAATATCACAGTAAAGTATTCATCTAGATTTAAATTAGTTAAAACAATGATAATTAGTAAATAATCAACTTATTGATGAAATGTTATGTCTTTATTAGTTGAATTACACGTCCTTGATGACGTTTTT